GACATATCAAGATTTCCTAAATAAAATTACCCTTAATTTACTTTTAATGATCATAATAAACATTCTTTATTGCATTATTAGTATAGTTTTGAAAAGATCGTTATTCAAATAATAAAAAACTCATTCATTGTTCCTATTTTATATTTGATTAAACTATTTAGTGGTAAATTAATTAAAGGAACTGAATTTTTGTTGGGGATAAATCGTTTAAACACCGCGACTATTTTTTCGAACGGGAACCGTATTCATCAGAGCCGACGACGATAAATTCCTTTCCGAAGAAATCTCTGAACAATCATACAAGCCGGGAAAATGGAATTAAGGGTATTAAATTTGGAGGCACGTAGTAGTATTTATCAATTAAAAGGCTTCGCTGCGGCGGCAGGTCCAGAATGCAATAAGGATATCTGGCGGCTTTCTCTAAATCATTTTAAATGCAATAATACATTTTGTTTCATTTTTCAATTATCTTGGGGCTACGTGAAGAGACAGGCCCGTACCTGATGTAGAGATTTTAAAATATGCATGCATAGTCATTAAACATTCACATCTCTATTTACAAGTAAACTAAATAATTATTCCATAACAAAATTGATTATTATTGAAAATTCAATGGTATAAATAATATAATTTTTAGTAATATATTTTTGTGACCCTTTTGTTGTTTAAATAAAGCTTTGTATAAAATTTTAAATTGGGGTTGTAATATTAAATGATAGTGAAAAAAAAATCAGTGGTTGATTAAAAGAATTTCGTAATGCGCGATTAATCTTTTTTTCTGAACCGGTACTGGAGTGGGGCATCTCTGTTAAAGGTTAAAAAGGCCCTTTGTCGATGGTTGCTGCGGGGAATTTTTATAAGGATAATAAAAAGAACATATAGCACAAAGACAAAGCGGACGAAATGGCTCCTGTGCTCTCGTACCTTCGGGTAATTAGGAGATTTCCATCGTAATTTCACCGACTTCTTTTTGTATGGAAAATAAGGCAGTCGGCTTTCATGTTGTGTTTAATAATTTCATCTTTATTTCGATTTTTTTCAAGACTTTTTGAAATAGAGATCCTTTGTCGGCGATAAAGGAAGGAAACTTAAAAAAACCATTTTTACAAAAGGAAGGAATTTTTAACGGAATTCAAAATTAAGAATTGGAAGTTTTTTCATTATGCCGATATAAAAAAGAATATTTTTGTGGAAATTGTAACCCGAAATATTTCCCTAATTATTGCGGTTTTTGTTACAAAGAAACGGAGGAGGAAACATTTTTATTTTTTTTGCAACATTTTATCAAATTAGCCACTTGGGTAGACATTCAATCTAAATTCAAAGTATTATGTAGCTTACATTTTAAATCAATTTTACATTTCCATATGTCAAATTTCACAAACAAACAATAATTAATTCTCCTAAAACAATCATTGCTTTTACGCCTGAATTAATTTCACTCGAAATCCGAAATTATTAATTCCCATTAAAAGAAATCGAATTATCAAACCGCGACTAATTATTTATAAAATTCAAATTGAACTGTAATATAATTGAGTGTAAAATCTGCTTAACCAGTCGTTTCGAAATAATTCTGGGCATTAAAATAGAGATGTAAAGTTGTTGGAGTGTGTACATTTCTAAATGAAAATTTGAATAAAATAATATTTTAGCGGGGATTTAAAACGGTGTGTAATTTAAATCCATTCACGGAGGCTCGTTTTAATTTTCCACCTCAACAAACGTGCACACAAAGTGTATCGAAGTAAGTGAGTACATAGGGAATATTGCTTTGAAAAGTGGTTTTTATTTTTGAAAATCATATTTTTGCTTGTCGAACAAATCCGTATTCTACGGAAATATAATCACGAGGTAATTACATAAAGCAATTTCCATTCGTAGATGTTTCTATCAGTTGGGCGCTCCATCAACCCGGCAGTCACACCTTTTCAAGTTTCTCATAAAGTAATTAACAACACAAAATTACATACGAGCGATGATTTATCGATGCACCCGGTGACCCAAACACGCTAACACGCCATATCAACACACACTACATTCACCGTTTTCGCTTTTTTCTTGAAATGTTTACTTTTCGGTCGGTTTACGCATCACGCGATTCTAAATCCTTCTCTTCAAACGTTAATGCAATTTTTTTGTTCTTTTCCAACCTTCGAAGTAATTAATTCGCCTCAAGAATCACCCTGTATTGTATAGTTAAAAGGAAAAAGAATTAAGTGATGGAACAAACCTACTAAATTCGAGCTTGTAAGTATAAGTACTTGAATCGGAGAGCAGCTCTATAACTAACAAACACCGAGATCAAAATAGAACTCCGCAACGGAACGTGGAAATTATTAGACAGAATTCCAATCGAATTGTAATTTAAATCTCATATAAACCGAGCAGTAGATACGATTGAGAGATGAGAATAACACGCCAGTACTTCAGATAATTCTCGACACTATCGACATAACAGTGGGAAATAGTGGAAACGTTACCGAAACGCAACGAACAGAAATTCTTAACTATCGGATCAAAGTTCTACTTACCGAATAACGTAAATCTGATAAGTTTACGGGTTGCGACCGAATTGAATCGCTAACGAGGACTTTCAAAGATCGACCATAATGGCCTATCGTTGTTGCAAATCGACCTGCATTTGACAATGGCATTAAATTAGACAAATCGATATTTACTCAACAATATAGTATTAAAAATATTATTCAATATAGGGTGATATTTAAAAGAAGTACTCGATAAACGATAAACGATAAACATGTAAATATATTTAATCTTCTTCAAAACAAATTTGAAAATTTTATTAGCGAAAGGTAAACGTTCTCCGAATTTTCGCTCTGTTTGCATAAGGGGTTTCGGTCAAATATTTGCCAGAAATTTAATTCCTTGACAGGTCCATTAATTTCGCCTGGAAGATAAAAGATAAGGGTAGACCCGGCGGAAACCGTAAACTAAGAAATACGCAAAAACGACATCGCTGAAACAACGTTGAAACGTATTACTCGAAAGTACCAGAAAGGACTTTGATGACATTAAAATAATTAAAAGGATATCAGCTGTAATTTATAATCCCGTATTTGCTGTCGAGGGCCGGTTCGCAAACGATTTTTCTTGCGGCCTTTTAATTTGCGCTAAAAGCCTTTAAGAAATTTTATACGGGCATTTTCGAGGGCGGTAATAACGTACAACCTTCAGTAAATAGCAATTAATAATTTATATTGCATTTTATCTAATCTGCGCCGCTTGTAGGTAATTAATTTATAGACAATATCGCTTTTATTTGTTGCATCTCACTTATGTAATAAAACGTACCTATCTGTACCAACATATCATACAGCGAACAAAGTTTTCCGGTTCGTATATTTTCCGTATTATCGCGGATATATTGACACAGAGCTTTTTTTAATGGATCACAAACAGATTACATCGCTTTAAATCGTGAGATATACAGTAATTTGGAATTTTATTACCTACACTTTTTTCGGTCGGTATGTTTTATGGTCTAATAAACATTGACTTTGATTTTTGCAACGGATCCTGTTGGTAATTAACAAAATAGTGGATGGTCCGTTTAATTGTCGTGATGGTGAAATATCAGCCGTTGGAAACTTTTCAAAATTTACTGTTATATTTTTATCAATATCAAAAATTTTTATGGTTACATTGTTTCAAACGTATTTAACACTTGTGTATTGTTGGCATATTTATACGTTTATAAAATACCACTAGGTATTTTAGTATTTTTGTTTAGTTGGATATTTTATTTTCATTTAGACATTGAGAAGAGGATATTTAGAAAGCTTTTTGATAGGTAGAGTATATGTATGGAATAATCTTTTCACTCCTTGCTATAATAATTTGTGGATTCCGAAGCGGATTCCTTTATAAACCCGTATATATTTTACGGAAACATGATCTTGATTTATACCTTAGACTACTACACTCTTAAAAATTACAGACACTAAGCACTGAACGCCGTAAATTATTAGATCAATGTGGGGTTATTAATCATATTATAAATTTTGGCGGAGGAAATCTAATTTCACCAAAATTTTATATACAAAAATTATGGGATAAAAGAGTAAAAAACTGAAACCTGAAACCCATCCGAAGTTAGTTAATACTATCTACTATATTAAGATTAAAAAGCTTAATTCTTTTCCAAAGTTTGGTAATTATTTGTTCGTGTGCAGAGATTTCCTTCGAATTCGACTGATTAAATGTATTGCATAGCGTTTAAATATTGACACTTGATTACCCTCATCGACTATCAGTAGCGGATTTTAGCCGCTGTAATCAGATCGTGTTCACTAACAGCCTATAGCTTTATTTTCTTTCCACTTTCCGTGTTCGCTTGTTGCGGCAGAACGAAAGAGTAAGCGGCTTAAGTCGGGGATTTTCTCCGGAAATAGCTCTGCGACGAGAAATAAACGAAAACGCTCTGTTTGCTGTTGCGAATTGCGGATGATTAATTTAATTAGTCGCATATCGGAAAAGAGTTTATTTCCCAAAACAAACGGAGTTTCTGATTGTTGTTTGTCTGTTATAATGAATTTACTGTCGTTAGGGCTAATAAAGCGAACGGTAAAAACAACGTTGTTTGTTGATGGATATTTTTAGAACGTTTTATCCCAATCTGCATGTTTTATGAAGGGATTTATAATAAATCGCATTATGGAAAGCGTACTTTGCAATAATTAGTGTACTCAAAATAGAGTATTAATTAATTAATATAACTCGATTCAAAACAATATAAAAAATATATCCAATAGCATATAAAATTCAATCTCATTAAAATTAATAACGTACCTAACTTTTATTATTTTGATATCTGTTTATAACTATCTATTTTCTTTATTAATCATTTATAAATGACGAAATAAACTAAAACATCATCAAACAAAAATGTTAATAAATATCTATCTAATCAAATAAACAGTGAGTCCCAGTATACGAGTATGTTTGGGCAGTATTTAGAATGTTCTTGTTGTTTTCAGGAAATCGCCGCCATCCTTATCAGCTTCGATCGGCACTCGGAATGGCAAAGCAAGGAGGTCAAGATCAGGTCTGTATATTTAATGATAATTTATTACTGCAATTCCATATTCACAAATCGCCCCAATTCGATTATCTGCCGCTGTCCATTTCCATTTTAGGCCGAGCTGTAAATTTATTTGTGCTACTTTGTTAAATGGAATATGGAATAATTTTTTGCGCTCTTTTGTCTACTACGAGTAGGTTTTTGAATATTTTGGTTCTGCTTCCTCTTCTTCTCAACTATTTTTTGAAATCACTGTAGTACGTAATATTTAATATAATAATTGCAAGTTAAAAGTATCTATTATACTCTGAAATTTAAAATTTTGTGTTGAAGATCCATTACTATTAGACCTTTATCTACAATGCATTATAGGTGTATATTTGCAGTCTAGTATACATATTACTGTAGTAAAATAACTCTCATGTGAGCTGGACATGTTCCTAACATGTTTATTTTGCGATGAATAGATTATCAACTGATTTACACTACAATCAATATTCTCTCTTCAATCGTAATTCCAGTGTCCGATTTATTTACGGTTACATAAACACTAAAAGTTTATGCAGTCTCTATTTCTCTGTAAATATTGAATTGATACAGCTAAAAAAATACTGTTAAGTACTTAGTGACTTTGGTTTAATACAATTTTTTCTTTTTTATTATACATATTATGTTATATGTTCAAAAAATAGTATGAATTAAATATAGCAGTTTTATTACTATTACATCATTCGAAATAAAATTTTCTGCTTTAATTAAATTAAAACGGGCTCCTAGTCTAAACGATAAACCGAAAAAACTAACGTTTACTGCTCCTATTAAATCTTTATTAAGTTTTATTAAAGCACAAAGCTTGAAGAACTGTAATAATAGGCTTATTTTTTATTATTGACGGCAATTAAACGCGGCCTTTTATATAACGGTTAAGAAAAACGCACTTTTCGCGTAATTAAATACAGGTTTATTGCCGTTTTCGTCGTTAAACATAAGTTTACCGCCATTTTAGAAAGCAATATAAACGTTAAATGCAGTGAATGCACAAATATACGAACGACACACGTTCATTTCGGCCTGCACTTCAAATGTAACTAATATTAAGGAAAGTAATTTTCGTAATTTGTACTACAACTCGGTACATTGGCGTACCACATGAATTTAATTATTAAATATTTTCGATTTAATAAATTAATAACCAATTAAGTTATCTACTAATTTTATAAAACCTTTGTTAAATTTGGTTTCTTATAATTTGCAATTTTAATTGTTTTAAATTATTTTTGTACCACATTATAGGAATATTAAGGACCAAGAAATATGAATTTCTAGAGAAGGAAGAACATTCTACGTCAATGAGTACATGCGAACCAACCTTTTACAAGACATTAGGATGCTTTATACGGAATTTAATATAACTTTTATGTAGGCAGTAATTGCCAAGTAACGACTTGCATTTTACAGTAGTATTTGTCCAAGTGGTTCGTTTAAGGATCCTCTTTATGGCATGGCTTTAGTACGAATAAAATTCGTTTTGTTTTTCTTTCGGTCTCGTGATCTTTTAAGTGTCGACGAACAGTTATTACTCGTCGTCGACGGAAAAAAAAGTTTTCATTAAACTAGTTTTGAATTAATGGGATAGTTAGTAAATTGTAATTTTATTTTACGTTCGGACGCGATTGTCTCGCGCAACTTAAATGGAATTGCTTTTTTGCGAACACGTCTCGTATTTATCGCGTTATTTTTAACTTCACGCTTTTGCTGTTTATATTTGCTGGAACCGTGTTTTAATATTTTGCAATTAGACAGAAATAATTACTAATCATTTTCAACCACTTTTTCATGCAAAACCAATTGCCCTTCTCAATAGAGAACTCCATATTCAACTGCATTCTCAAATATCCTCTCAACTGTACACTCTACTGCATTCTCAATTATCTTCAGAAATGTCTTCTCAATTGCTTTCTCAACTGTATTCTCTACTATACTATCAACTGTATTCTTCAATCTCTAACACATTCTCAAATATTTTTTCAATTGTCTTCTTAACTGTCTTGTCAACTGCATTCTCAACTGTCTTCTCAATTGACTTCTTAACTGTGTTCTCAAATGTCTTCTCAGCTGTCTTCTTAACTAATTTATTGACTATTTTGTCCCCACTTGATTTTGCATGCATATCATATTATCTCAACCTAAATATACCGCATTAAAAGCTGATAATTTATTATATTGCATTAAATTGTTCGTTAAACATTCCAAAAGACTTTTGGATTAGAATTTACTATTGGTTTGGTAGGTTCACCGAAATATTGACGTACTCACAGGTTGACTGAGTTATTTGCAATCAAAAACTCGCTTTTGAAACTATTCAAATCGCAGGCTGTCAAGCCGGATGAGTAATTTAATTTCCATCTGAGATGCAGGATATCTGGAATTTAGTCGACGTCTGCGAGAAAGTTAAGACCTAAAATTTAGTTTGGCCGCCCATTCGATTTTGATTGTAATCAACTTGTAATTGCAATTTAAATGCATTGTGGGTTTGTTCTTCATGGCTGGTCCGAATTAATTAAAATAGCTTTAATTATAATCGGTTTATTAGTCAAGCGGAGTAGTCTATTTTAAATGGGTCCGCGCTCGCCGGGATCCTATATATTTTATTTTAAATGTTCGGGATTAGCGATTTCTCCGCAGCAGTAGTTAACGTATTTTAAGCAGATTTGTTTTGCCTTTCGGACTTAGATCGCGAAAAGCGTTTGTTTGTTATTTCTATAACCGGTGGGAAATTTGCCCGTTGTGTTTATAATCCGGCCTGGGTAGACGACACTGCTAAAATTTATTTCAACAAGTATTTTAATTATTATTTGTATTTACTAAGAAGTATTACGTATAATTAAATTTAAGCCAATTAATTTATGTGTCTATTGCTTAATTACATTTATCTTGTATGAATTTCTATAGTACCTATACCTACATTTAATTTTTTTCTAGTGATTATAAATTTATCTACATAGTTGGATAATGTGTCATAATTGAGAGGTGATTGTAGGAAAATTCGAACTTAAAATTGCCTGTAAAATTTTCTAAAAAATTGATTTTTTTTCTAATATAACCACTATAATAGCATATTTAAGTTTTGTCACGGTGTAAAAAACACTTCTCGTCCCGTTCGTGACTTGGATAAAATTGAATCAAAGGTTCCGCTGTTGCTCTTCGACGTTAAATATTTTAATCCTTTTAGTCGTGATCGATTGGTTTTCGTGCTTTTCGGGTAGCTATCATTATTACTTACATTCCTCTACCTTTTCAACGACTAAAAAGGATAGTAAATTGCGCTAAAGAATCGTTTCGAAAGTTGAATTTCCCGTTTTTCTTATCTCGTCGACCGGTCGCGAATCGAAAGTTTTCCCGTCCGGGAGTTTTCCGAACTTCCGGAATTTCGCAGTTTTTATCGCTTTTTGCAATAGTCGACTCAATAGGAACGGTCTAATTTGGAATAAACTATTTTATAAATTACTTTTGTTTTGAAAACGGGTAATATTTCAAATAATTGTTTGCTTTAACAACAATTTTAATAATTTTTCCCTTTCAGACCGAAAAGCGGATCGATGTTGTTGTACAGCAGGAAGAAAGTACGCTACCGCAGAGACGGTTACTGCTGGAAAAAAAGGAAAGACGGAAAAACTACGAGAGAAGATCACATGAAATTAAAAGTTCAAGGAACCGAGGTGAGTATCTACCGATTTCTCATTTCTCTCCGAATTACGTCTTTCGCACAAAAAATTTTTCTAATTTCGCCACCTCGTTTTCCCAATCTCGTATCGATAAACAACCAAATGGGGTATGAAAATGCATAAATTCCGGCAAGAATGAGCAAGCCAAGTTTTTAAGTGGAACATAAAATACAAATTTGATATTTAAAAGTTGAACGAAAGATTATATTCAATATTTACATAACCATAAAGTGAAATGAGATCCAGCAAGATCGAAATTGGACGCACTGAATTGTGAATGAGAATATCATTCGGATTAAACTGGAGGAAATGAAATTTTTCATTATTTCTTTTTTTATGTACGAGTTACTTTATTGACGTTCAGATATTTTCGATTACGAAACTTTTGCTACTACACACAAATTACAATTCCGCGTCCCAATTTATTTAACCAAGATAGTTTTTTTTTAATTATTAAAATGGTTTACACACCTTTTGAGCTCATGAAAATGTATTTTAATTCTTTTGGTGTTGGTTTCAATGAATGTAAGCTTTGGTCCATTCATACCTTCATCATTAGCTGGAAAATCTAACTATAAACTTACATAAAATATCTAAAACTTATATAATATTCTTACCGAGCACACCAATGTGAAATCGGCGGTCTTGTAACCATCGGAACTACTCGATGAAAGCCCTAAAAAGCGTCAGATACGTCATTAATTGGACTTCCGATAATGTCGAACAAAAGCTTTCTCTCGCGTAATGTCTGAATTGAAAGCATTAGAGCTTTCCAATGGCGACAGACGTAACGATTCGGTCTTTCGGAATTAAACAGAATTAAAGGACGCCCGTTTTATCTCTACCGATCCGATCCCTCTTTACTCCATTTTTTTAGCCTTCTTTATACTTTCCGAAATTTGCCTACTGTTTTTATCCACTGGAAATAAAGGATATTTGCTGCTACCGTTACCGTTAATTTTTTTAAAAATAAATTTTTAAGAATCCTCTTTATGCGACTTACAATGCAAAATGTAATTATTAAAATGTATATTACATTTCTGTTCCCTTTAGTCGCTTCTTCCATTTGGTAATTAGTTTAGTTTATCTACGTTAATCAGAGTTGTTGGTTCATTATTAATGAACGTACTGTTGTGGATATGCGTTTTTTAATCTATTTTTTAATAACTAATTTAAAATAGTGAATTGTACATCCAATAACATTCATACATATTCAATATATAAAAAAAAAACAATTTCGCTTTTACAAAGCAAACCGTGCCTCGATACAAAAGTGTTAATTTCGTTCGCGCATTCGAAAAAAAAAATACAATAAAATTGACAGCAGTAAAAGCGAGATTAAAGCTTTTTTTCCGGATTTTATAAAAAGACAAAAAGAACCGTTCCATCTCCTATTTTTTTTCTCCGTTTCGGACGCGTGACATGACAGTGTGATTTAATCAAAGTCAGCTTGTTGGAGCCGTATGAATTTAAACTGCCTTATTACTGAACTCCATATGTGCTATATTAGATTCTATTGTTGTATGAGAACGATGGCTTAGTACGTAAAGCATTGGCTAATAATTCCGTTCTGTGTTATGTGGGTCGTATTTTCTCGATGCGGTCGGAATATTCCCTATTTGAAAATTTAGACTCAAAATTTAATAGTTGGGAGTTTTTCCTTCAGGACTTTGTGGTCGAAGGAGGACATTAATATTAAATGAAGGAATTGAGTTGTTGATGATACATGATCATAAATTTATCGATTCCTTCGGCATGGGTTTGTATTTAAAAGTAATCGGTTTATAATCCAATTAGTTATTCAGTCAGTGACGTTTGAAAGATCAAATTGTTCGTGCGTATCTAATTTCAATTATTTACGTGAATATTATGTTGGGTTGTTTTAATAAAAGACGGAAGTAGACAAGTGGAACAAAAATCTCTCAGATAAAATTCCTCTGTTGGCAATATAAAAAAACTCGACGTTTTATTAACGAAAATTTACCAAATTAAATTTCTCCCCGAAAACAAGCGAAAAATCTCCGAAACTCCCGCTGCCTAGAAAATAAACGCGAGACCGTGGAGACTTTATTCATTCGTCCGCATTTCCGGGGAAAAGAAAACGAGAGTGAATCACCTTTGGCAAAGTTAAAAAGTTCAACTTAAAACGACAGAAGCGACAGCAGTCGAAAACACCTGTTGGGAAATGTTTTATGTAGCTTCCGAAAAAAAGTGTGCCACTGCCAGATGTTGAAGCATTTGCGTGCGGCAAACCGAACATTGAAATTTTATTTCGCATGACCTTTTTTCACCATTAACCCCGTATAAAAGCTTTCAGCCCTTTACCTATTTTTTTCTTATAATATAGCGATCAATTCAACATTGTTATATCAAAACGTAGCGTGTATTATACCATTGCTGTATTTTGGTTGTTCCAATTACCCTATAGGTTCTATGCAAGGGTTCTAATTGTATTGGCCATTTCCCAATCTGTTTATATTGTAACACGATATCGTGTCGGTCATTAACGATTAACACCATACGTGTATTACGTGTGTGCCCGGTATGTGTAAATCAATACACGGAAGATGTCGAAAAGGGGAAGCGATTAATTTCCTCCGACATATTTTGCGGCCGTCATTGTCACGATCATCATTCGATTGACCTTAAATAAACGGGGCAGAAGGAAGCCGTGACTCATAAATCACGAACGGATCAACAGTCGACTAATTGCTTCTACAACAAGTTGTGACAATTAGAAAGTCATGGATGGTGTTTTCGCTTTCGTTCAATCGTCAATATTTATTTTTACTCGCTTTATTGATTTATGGCTTTAAGTATTTCTTTAAAATTCGCGCTATATTTAAAAACTTTTGTTGATTACACCAAAAATAAATTTACGTAATTTAAAAAATTTTGTTGAAAAAGAAATTAATGACATCCTACGTTCACCATTATACAGTACGACCCGCGTATATAATTAAAAAGAAAACAAGGAAAAAATAAATAATTGCTATCATACCAACGTTTTAATGAGTACATTTACTGGAGATCAAAAAACCCCTACATTCGCGTTCATTGCCGGCTTGTTCGCATGTAAATAAATGAATCCCTTAATTGAAATATGCATTTTTTACGGGGCAAATCTTGTGTCCGCCCGACTTCCTGCGAAATGCAGCGTTTTCGAGGTCTTAAAGAGATATATTACACCTGGAGTAATTCATTCGCGCCCATTAAACGGGGTTTAAAAAAACCCGTAAACAGTTTTACGCTTCTCAGATGAGCTTCTTGTGTTTTTCTTTTTACCCCGCCAATTTTTTTCGTACCCTTAATTATACATTCCACCGCCGTCGTAAATCTGGCTGATTTAGGCTTAGTCTAATTCCGTCTTTTTCTTTTCCGGTTTTCTATCAAAGAGAAATATTGGGTAATTTTCGGTAATGTTTTGTTTTTACTTAACTTTTCTGTGTATATTTAGAAACGTTATTTATGGATTTTGGTATCATTAGTTCATGAAACTTCTGGAAAGTCGTTAATTCTTCTTTATTTTTTCTTTTTGGAGGGTTTGGTGTTACATAATTTATTTTCCGAAGTGTTTTTATATAAATATTGAATACAATACGTTGATTGATTTTCGTTTAGTAGGTCACTTGGGTTGCTTTTTTTCTTACATAATAGAATTAAGGTAAATTAAATCATTGCTCGATTTTAAAATTTTAAAATCAAACCATTGATTTTAATTACATACGCCGATTTTTTAATCCTTTAATTGGAAATTGCACCAGATTTACAGATTCGTTTAATTACACATCAACAGGTTTTCGAAAATTTCAGACGATGAGTTTAATTAAAGGATTGTATTTTATTTAATTGTAGCGTACGTTAATTGCTTTAACCTCGTTTCGATCGATAAAATACACCCCTATATTGGAGCTAATAGAATTTAACGCGCCTACTATTCCAAATAGGCTCGAATCAGGAAATTTTACCTATTAATTAATATTAACATTTGACCATTAATATCAGTGCGCTTACATAAAAGGGAACATAACTAACGGTTGAAAAAAGTCGCCATTTATTCATGCACGTTACCAACGAATCCAAAAATATAGACAAATTTTGTTCACATCGCTCCCGTAATGGATGCTTTTCATTACGCTCATTTATTATCGAATTAAGTTTTCCAACATTTTGTAATTTATCATGCAATAAATGCACCGGAGTTTTATTTTAAACTCACTCACTCGGTCCCGTTCCCGGCAGGCGCGCCCTGCAAGCTGCTGCGACAATTTTCAATTTATTTTCGAAATGATTTTGTGTTAATTGGAAGTGCTACGTAATGAAAAATTATTTTTTGACGAGGTTGGAAAAAGGCCGCTCGCCGAAATCGCATTGTTATAAATTTGAGCTCCGGAACTATTTTTTATAGCTTATTCGTTACGCTTTGGGGACGTTTTGAAAGTAATTGTTAATGCAAAAAATTAGCGGAGAGAATTTAATTGAATAGCACGGAATTTTTTGTAATTATTTATTTATTTGTTAATGTTCATTATTTCTAGAGGTTTTATTTATTTATGCTTTGAAAGGTAATACAAATGTTTGTATTTTTTTAGTTCTCTATTCAAATTTTTAATAAACATCCATTTTTCATCTTTGCTGTAGTTACACTAAATGTACATAGTAAAATGTATGTAAATAACAAAAATAACAGTTGCAAAAATATTTAATATTTTCACAAACAAATATCAACGAAACTCCTTTTAATTGTTTTCTTAAAACGTTACCAATCCGGGATATTTGTTTTCATTCGAAAATCAACGATTTATCCCCTTCTAGACTCCTGTCATCAAAAGTGAAAAATGTTCCGGAGGTCTAAAAAATCGCTGCTCGAAGATAACCACTTCATTAACTTCTAAGGAGTAAACATAAAGGAAGTAGGCATAAAGGATTATCAGTAATTCTGCGAAGTTGACTGTAAAACTTTTCGCGCAGAAGAAATCACCAGAGTCGTATTCACATTTAAAAAAACTGTAGTACGGCATAAACAAAGCAAATCTCTAATTAAGTTAAAGAATGGAATTGATAAAAAATATATCAAAATTTAGAACATAAATTAATTTCTACTTCATATATCGTTAATATGCTAATACTAACTCAGATTAAGATTTACTAAAAACTATATAAGGATAATGAACGATAAAATAATTACATTGCAATGGTAAAAAGTTCTTATTTTCAAATTAAAAACAGTCTTTCAAATTTAATTAAATCCACAACATGCCTTTATTTCTTAAACTCAGATTAATTCAATTTAGTTTCAAAAATAATAAGGCCCATTAATTTCAGCAGGAAAGAAAACGTTTCCTTTATTACTATTACGTCCCTGCCTTCCTGTCAAAACTTTTCAAGCGGAAATGAGTATCTATAAAGATTAATGTCTAAGACTGTACTGTGTAAACTTGTTCGCGAAGACATTTATTTAAAGAGTCGATAATCCGCAAGAAGAAGAAAAAACATTCAGAAAGCTCAATCCTTGCCGGTGATTTACTTCATAACAGGAAATATTTCCTTCCTGAAGTATGCACTATTTCAAAGCCCATCGGAAATAATATTCGCAGAATATTTTAAGACTAAAATGCCTTGTTTTTGCAGTGCATCTACGGCTGTTATGTTCACTCCGCTATTCTACCTACTTTCCATCGAAGATGCTACTGGCTACTACAGGTAAATTTAACATTTAAGTAACTTGGAATTATAGTAATAATAACCGCTTAAATGAAACACGACGATTAATTAAAGCTACGCCAAAAAAACGTTTTATTTCACTTTTGAAGAGTTTGTTGCTTGTCTTGTTTCCAGAACCCCGACATCGTTCTTGTTCACTATTTGAACGTCCCCTATCCAGACGATAACAAATTAGCCGTCATAACCCCGAGTCTGGCGCTATGGGCCGACAAAAAAGAATGGACGAAGGAGGAACTCGTTTCGCAACTAAAACCGATGTTTTTCAGCGAAGACGAGCCGGACATTAACAACGAATTAGAGATATCGGTGAGTTTTGTCGCTTCGTCAAACTTACATTGTTAATGAGAATTGTGTAACGTCCGGATAGAATTTTAAATTGCAGACTGCCGAAACGGTCGAGGCCATTGTCAGTCAATTAATGGAAAAACAGCGAGTAGCCAGACAAGCGGCTTTGGTCAAGCAATTAGAATGCGGCTGTCCGGATTCGACGTGCGCCGATGGAAAGAGCTGTTCTCATCCCATGAGAAGAATAACCGCGGCCAAGGAGGTGGCCAATTCGCCATTGCCAAGCGTCAGTTCCAATTCCAGACCGCCGAGCAATTCGGACAACAATAATCAAGTTTCTTCCACTACGGGGTCGGGTTCCATGATATTAGGCAACGGGAGTTCGCCCAGAGTTTATTCCAGAGATTCGCGAAATCAACAGGTAAACTCGATACTTACTTGCCTTTTGTTGATGGCATTAAACTGTAGGCTCTGGATGAGTTTGGAACATGTAATTCCAGTATTAATATCATTTAACATCATTCATTAGTATCATAGTTTTGGTTCATATTCCAGCTCGTATATGTTATAACTAAATTTATTTTCAGGCCACCGCGAACAACATTAATTGCTCGTCGAGTTCGGATAATACGCCGCCGTTGGTTTTGAGTCTTTCTCAAATACAAGGCGGTGGTGGATTGTTGATACTGAACAGTAATTCGGGTAACGGAGGCGGTGCCCATCAGAACCTGGTGAATCCAGTGTCCGTGGCTAATTTCGTATGCAACACGAACAACGTAATTCCCAAAGAGAAAACTAGTCATTTAGTACTTAAACAAGAAGTGATGGATACGAATCCGTCGTCATGCTTGCATTCCTCTAAGCAAAACTCGAAGGCCGGTCAGAGAGACATGAAAATGGAACTGAGCGAAAACCATAGACAATCAGTTTTTCATGATAATTCCATTTATAATAATAGGTAATTATGATGTTTTGGATTATTTAAACCGATGAACATTTAATCCTTTACTGATTGTTAGAAAAAACATATTTTTTAGGAATCATCACCATCAGCAAACCGAAGTCATTATGTCTAGTGCTCCGTCGACTCCTTCAAAGCACATGGATACCACACAGGAAGAAATCGTCGAGGATTTCAAACATCAAAATTTCTGCAACGAAACCGTGGTACTTTTAGGAACCGATTCCAGCGGATCATTAGTTAGCAAAAGCGATGGTTCTTCCATTATAAACGGTGGCTTCTTCAATGAAACCTTGGATTTATCACAAGTATAGCTCGTTAAAAAACAAGTTATTCTTTTACAAATAACACCAATATTTTAGGAGGACATTCAAAGAACGTTATCAGCAAACATGCCTTTGTGTTCAAATGAATTAAATAATCAAAACAACGCCCAAGAGGCCAACAACGCGAACATCCACAACCGTCAGCACCACCACCACCACCACCAAAACAAGGCCCAACAACAGCCGCAGCTGCCCGCCGAGATCAACCCCATGGACTTCATCGACGGTTGCGACGTCGTGGTGTCGCCGACGCACGTCGTCGACGACGACGTCTTCGTCAACTTGGACGCGTTCGACATGCTCGGCGAATTCCCCGATCTGGAAGGTTTAGATTCTGGTCATGCTGGACTCCTAGATGTTAATCCGTCCGAAACTAGAAATAATACGAAAGCACAACCAGAACACGAACACAACAACCATCCGATGGAAGGGTCGGCGAAGATCACCGACTACTCGCCCGAATGGGCCTATCCCGAAGGAGGCGTCAAAGTGCTCGTCACAGGTCCTTGGCATTCTTCCGGGCCGTATACTGTACTATTTGATACATTCCCCGTACCTACGACTCTTGTACAAAGCGGTGTACTGCGTTGTTATTGTCCAGGTAATTACCTTATTATTAATGTGATTTGTGAATTTGTGACATGTGATTTGTTTAGCTCACGAGGCCGGTCTGGCGACGCTGCAAGTAGCGTGCGATGGTTATGTGATTTCCAACTCTGTGATATTCGAGTACAAGTTACCGCCTAGAGAAGAACACGTTGCCGCGCCTGAACCGAAAGTAGAAAGGTGCAATGACAATTTACTTAAGTTCACGTTGCTCCAAAGACTCGAGGCCATGGACGATCGTTTGCAAATCAAGCAGGAACCCGTCGACAACGATGTGGTGAGCTACTACTCTATTATCGCTTCATTTTACACAAATCTCTTCGTTTGTTAGGTTGAGGATACGGCCTTGTTTGGACAGTCGAATTTTGAGGATCGCTTGGTGAGCTTCTGCCAGAACATGACCTGTAGAATCTGGCGGCACGGCGAGGAGTTGAGCGTGTCTTGGTTCGCCAGCCACCGGGGCATGACGCTTTTGCATCTCGCAGCTTCGCTGGGCTATTCGCGTTTAGTCTGCGCCATGTTGCATTGGCGCGCGGAGAATTCTTCTCTGCTGCTGGAAACCGAAGTCGACGCACTTAGTCTCGACGAAGACGGCTACACGCCTCTGGTAAGTCTATTACACTTATTCAATTAAATTATTAACGTTGTTTTGATTGGTTAAGATGTGGGCGTGCGCCAGAGGTCACATCGAAACGGCGGTGATGCTTTACAAGTGGAACCACAACGCTTTGTACATGAAAAACAACTCGAATCAAACGGCTTTGGACTGCGCCAGGGCGAACAATCACGTGGACCTCGTCAAAGAGATCGAAAAGCTGGAATTGAGAAGAGACAAAGCCAATATGATGTTACAGTCCAATCAGTCTTCGTCCGAAACGGCTCTATCGCCCACGATTATATCTCCTGCTAGTTCGATTGGCTCCTTGGTGTCTATTGCTTCGACTAGCAAGTCTCACGATGGGGTTTTCTTACGACCCGGAGCCGTAACGAGGTATTACAATCACTATAACTCTACAATTATAGTAGAGTCAAATCAGCTTTAGTGTCAAATCAGCAAAATAATATTTTTGTATCGATTTTCTGCACTTTTTTCGAATCGAGCCGAAGCTTTTTCCTTCAAGATCTCCCAAAGTATTCTCCAAAGATTCCTTTAACTTTCGTATATACTCGTTTCCCATGAAAAATTCGTTTTGGTAAAATATCGAAGATAGTAAAAGCGCTGGGTGAACTTCTGAACTCATAAGCGAGCCATCTTAATTATAATCGTATATGATAGATTTTTTTCTGTTAGAAACGATGTCAACAAGTACAAGATCTTAAACGTGGATCTCGATTCCGATATGAGCAACAAACTGATCACGTCGGCTCCAAGTCCGTTGCTGTCGGATTTTTCGTCGAGCACCAGAGGTAGTAACGGTCAAAAGTTGGTGAAAAGGCCTTCCATCGACAGCGGAATTAATATGAGTTTCGGTCCAGCTTCGGAGAGCTACAGGCCTAAGAGTTCCAAAGTCTGGAACAACCGCGACATTCCAAAACTTTCAAAGTAGGTGCTTCGGTTCTTCTAGTCGTTTGTTTAAGGGTGGTGTTTTTAAGGATAAAGTTTATGTAATTTCAGATCTGACCGAAGCATGTCTCTACCTCTGCAGACCTCATGCTTAAAGGACAATTCCTACGACAACGAAAACATGGAATCCCATAAAAAGATGGATTTTGCGTTGTGTAAGTATTAGTAAATTCATTGTTGAACATAAAACAAAAGTATTTTATTTTACGAGCGGGTAAGTAGTAAATATTATCATAAAATGCATGTATAAACGAGCGCCTAGCTGAATTTTTCTGTTTCTATATTCTTATCGAAAATAAAATAATCGGTCGTTGTTCGGTATTAATATAAATGAACCATTGGCGAGTAAAATAGTAGTAAAATTTCGTTAATTGTCGATGAAACGAAATACTTGGCACGATCTTCGCTGCTTTTACAACATCCTTTTATCGTAAATTCAGTCCGGCCCTCTATTATTTTTTTGCTTTTAAATTGCAACATTTATTATTTGAGTTTTTCAGTTCGTTCCTTTACGAGAACAATTAATACTCGGTAGTAGACAATATGCATACTAAAAATTTTCGATTTAGCACTGACTGATTTTTGTTATTTTGAAACTTGGAATATCTAGGCGAGATAGGGAGTGGTCCCCGAAGCAGTAGCCCTCTGATAGACGTAGAAGGTGTCTCGGATGACGAAAATGAGCTACCCAACAGTACTGTAGGTCAGTGCCCTAAATGGTCTGTTTGTTGTCTCTCGGTGTTGTTTCACTGTTGTTTATTAATTTATTCTACTCTTTGTTGTCCTTCATGTTCGTTATTGTACAATACAATTTTTATGCGATACTGATCAAACTGAGATGAGCTGGCTCTTTCTTCTGAATAATCGAAGATAAGAGAATAATACGCGTTAGTCCGGAATTTGTTGAAAAAAGGAAGAAATGTAAAGGTTTTTAATTATTCTGCAATACACTAATTAAAGTTGAGTAATACTTTTGAATTTTTTACACGAAATAAGTATGGCTCATATAATTTGAATTACAACGATTTTGTTTCATCTTAAAAGTATTTCCATTTTGAAAAAAACATAATTGCTCATTTAATTTAAAACTTTTTTTATAAAAATTCATAGTATTAAGAAGACGCCGGGAAACGTCCAACGGAAGAAGGAAAATGGTCGTTGCTGAGAAGAAAAAAATCCATTCATTTTTCTCTATAGTTTTTTATTGTACATAAATTTAACCCAAAATGGAAATACTTAATCTAAACATTGCGAATTTGAAAAGCATTGTACAATAACAATATTTAATAGATCTATCTTATACAGGGTGTCTGATAATCAGTAGTAATTTAGCACTAAGTTATCGTTTTGCAAATATCTAGTATCATTAACTGATATCAATGTTCGACATTTACACTGTTTACTGAGACATCTTGTATGCATTCTAACCATAGCCATAGATAAACGTGATGCACTCCCTAACGATAACGAAATCATTTGATTCTGTCCATGTTCTAGATCTAATCTTGAGAATCGTAACTAAGCTAACGCCATTTTACTATGAAGATTTTAACTTGAATCAGTAAATAACACTCCTTTCTAATAGATATGAAATGATGATCAACTTTTAGTGTTTTAGCTTCTACCGCTTACGCTTTTTAATTGTTTTGGTTGTTCTGATTTTCGCTTAGCCCAAAAAAGACCTTGAGATTTTATTAAATAGTCTAAAATACGATAAACTTAAGGTCTTTTTTGGTACAAAATTTAATTAAAAGTGATGTATTGATGTGCATGCGATATATTCTTTTACTTTAATACGTAATAAAACTAACATTAAAATCTGTATAAACTTTATTGTTTGTTGAATAATATTATTTATCTTTTAGGGGAGCAAGATGCCAGAGTATTAACACTGGCGGAACAAATTATTGCTGCTATGCCTGAAAGAATAAAGGTAAGAAACTCGTAACTTTAATATCGTATTTCACAACAAATTTACGCATTTTTTAAGAACGAAAGCGAGGAAATGATGATGGACAAAAGTCCCTGCGCATCAGACATCCAAACCACCGATTCACTAACTGATGTGTTCATGGAACCTTTGTTGGATCAGACATCGTCGAGTTTCGAATCGACAGAATTCCATTTCGAATTCTCCGATCACAACTACAGGTAATCCCGTTTCTCCAGAATGTACGTAGCCTTCTGACCATCGATTTCCAGATACTACGATGTCAGCACTCCTTGCTCGAGTCTAAGCCCAGCCTCTTCCAGTTGTTTACAGTCACCTTGCTCCTTCACACTAGATTCTCCGTCTCCTCCTCCAACCACAGCCGATTTCTGCGAGTTCTTCAAAGCCTCCGGCACCGTTTTCGAAAAGGACTTTTCCAATCTCACCCTATCAGGTAAGAAAAAATATTATTATCACGTGCAATAATAATTTAACAATCGTTTTATTTCCAGACCGCGAGCAACGAGAGCTCTACGAAGCCGCGAAAATCATCCAGAAAGCCTACCGCTCGTACAAGGGCCGCCAGCAGCAGGAGCAGAACAAAGAGAGGGCGGCCGCCGTCGTCATCCAGAACTACTACAGGCGCTACAAGCAGTACGCCTACTACAAGCAGATGACGCACGCCGCCATGGTCATCCAGAACGGCTACCGGTCGTACTGCGAGCACAAAAGGTTTAAGAAAAGCCAGGAGGCCGCCGTGTGCATTCAAAACTATTACCGAAATTACAAGGAGCAGGGGGGTAGGAGTAGTAGAGAGGGCACGCCCGCTCAGGCCGGGCTGAAGTAAGTCGACGTTTTGATGACCTTCGCAGGAAGTTATTTTATCTGATTTATTAAAATGCAGAGAATATAAAACTACCAGGATTGCTCAACTTGTGTCGTATAAAAGCTGATTCATTTACGACAGTAAAGAGATCTAATCCTTGGTAATATATTATTCCTTTTTTACACCCGTACTCAGAAGTTTCGTGTAATCAAATGGTTTTGTAACCAACCGATTATACAGTGATGGGCAAGTATGTAGAACCAAGTGAATAACTTTGGAATTCTTCGAGATATCGAAGTGTAATTTGGAGTGTAGATATTACAGTAATCATATTATAAACTAAAACAAAACGAATAACAAAATAGTGGAATAAATGTTAAAAAGTCAACAACAAATTTAATATACAATATACTGTAACAATTCCGAATTCCGTAGATATTTACTTGGTTCCACATATTTGCCCATCAATGTATAAGGAAACCAAACGGTTATTATTATCAACCGTTATAGGATATTAAATTTGATATAACCAACCGGTAATATAATAATCGACACTTCTGAATACGCATTCTGTACATATTCCAATCAGACGACTAAATTACTTCCTGTTAAAATTTTGGTGTTGGTTTCTATGTAAAGATTTCTTTTGCATTAATCTATGTATGTCACTAACAATTTGTAATTTACCTTAAATCATGATTATTGAAAATATGAAAGAACTCTTTCGCTTTTGCTGTGATGCTATCATATAAGTGTAACATACTACTTACTCCCTAACACCATATAACTCGCAACTTCGACCCCTGCTCGTGTGTAAATTGCAGTTTTAAGTGTGCATTAACGCTGGGTTTTAGTGTTTTTTAACAATTTTATAAACCGGTTTGATTTTAGACGTACCTACTCGCAAAGAAGACAACACCAAGCTGCTAGGAAGATCCAGCAGTTTATGAGGCAATCCAAGAACAAGTGAGTAATTCTTTTCTCGTATTAATTAACACCAATAAGTTTTTTCATTTTATTAATATGTTCCTTGGACAATTTTTTTATTAAATTCTCTAAATTTTCAATGCTAACTTAGTATATGGGATGATCCGATGGGACCTACAGCGAATGTAAGTCACGAAAGCCGAAATTAATATCTCTGTTGCCCTGTGAAGTGTATTTTTTTGTAGAACTTTTATTAAATTTCGTATTTTCTTCTTAGATTACAGAGAGAACGAGCCGAAAGAGAGAGGCAGGGGGGCCAGTCAGTGGATGCCCATCAAAAGTCACAGTGTCCAGGGGGCTCCTCCAGTTACATAGGCCCAAATAGCAGGTAATATTGACCAAATCAAATTTAAATATTTGTTCTATATCACACAATTATTCTCATATTCAGAAGTCTCGATTATAATATTACCGATTGGTATATTTGACAGTTCTACCTTTTCAAACGATTCAAATAAGCAACGTTGCCATTTTTACACCTGTTTTATAACCAACGGGTTATATCGCTTTCTGAATTCTGATTGAAATATATGTAACGTTCGGTATTAATATAATCGGTTGGTTACAAAACCGTTTGATTATAAGAAACTTCTGAATATACAATTACCCAATGTTTTGTTCTTGACTCAACATGTTTGGTATTCAGACAGGTATTAATGGAGCAATTTATTATTTATTTTTTCAGATTAAATAATACAGACTTCAAAGAAGACTCAAGAAAAAGCAACGATAAGAAGTGAGGAACTAATAAAAAATCGCGTGTACCTAATGTTTAAAATATGCCGTACAGGTGCGTTATTTTTGATTTTGTATAATATAGTCGCTACTGGATAGCATCTAGTACTTATATTTACTCCGAAATATTCTTATATCTTTACAATTGTCTAATTTGGCTGTTATTTCGTCATTTTTATGCATTTATACAAGAATGCAAGGATCGACAACAAAAGTGAGATGAATTTTAGACCTTGTACGAACTTTTTATTATAATTATATTTATCTTCTGATTGTATGGATTCAAAGCTGTGATTGTAGTAAGGAAAACACTTTTTCTTTTAGCATAAATCGAATTTTTCGAATCGATTTAAAAATTTTTATTTTCCCTTCCTTACGAACTTGTAATCGATGAGTGTTGAATTTATTAATTCATCAATTACATTCTCCATTAGGAATGTTGCTTATTTGTAATAATTTTTTGATAATTTTAATGTTTACTTACATCCATTAAATGTGTAATGATGGTGTTAAGAACTCGTCTATTTTAAACTTAAAGTAAATGTTGTTAAAATTAATATTAATTGTGTTACGTATTAAGGAAAAGTGTTTGCCGTAGTAAAAAGTTCTAGTCCTAGTATACTTAAAACAATATTCTTAAAAACATCACATTTTACGAAATACGGATCGGTTAAGCTTCGTTTTTAGTTGCATATGCAGTTTGTCTCAAGTTCAAGGTGCATATTAAATGTAAACATGCATCTTGAAAATTTTGCGATACCGCTATACAAAAATTAAGAAGTTACCATTGTTGTTTGTTGATTAATTTCGTTAGAATTTTTCCGATAATTGTGTTTTTTCGTCGACTATTCACTGCCATCGTAGTCGAGGTTTTTGAATTATCAATTTAGCAGTATATTCAATACCACTTTCGCCGGAAATAGTATTTTTTCCAAAAAAACATATACCAACGTTTTTCATAATAATTTTTCTATTTCTAAGTAAACAGTTTCTTAATATGTTTTAATCCTTTTCCCCCAAGTTTTTTTTTACCATTTTGTGCCACTTGTACTTAATTTTATGTAGCAAGACTGTTAAGTAATACATTTAATTGAATTCTTATGATGAAAATGTTTGGTAACTTTAAGAAAAATATTATGAAAAACTAAATAGAATAACGCTAGAGCTCGACCTTTTTAACTAACTTAAAAGTTCGCTCATACATATCATTTTAGAATAATACTACCTAAATTTACTTAATCGTAATCGTAATTTACTTACCTGCTGTAAAGTGAACGAAGATTTAATAGTAGTCTTGTACATAAAATATAATTTTGTTTCCATATAAATATATAAATATTGTCTAAATACATAGGGGGTTCGTTGGTGCTCAATAAAAAGTGTATTTTGCACAAAGTTAACTATTTTCGTTCTTAAAAATTTCGTCAATTACGAGGGAAAGTTATTTGGGTTATCTTATCTGTAAAAAATAAATCGAGTACCTGCAGGCAGGATAATTTTCGTAATATAAATAAGTTGTGAATATTCCCTCCTTTGTAAATAGTCGTTGTTTGTTTTTTGAAATTTTATTCTTTAAAAACATATAAATATATATTATATATACATAAAAAAATAGAGCTCTTATATATGAAATGCAGTACTTATGTAAAAGTATTGTGTAAAATTAATGTTGATATTTATAAATGAAAAAAAAGCTTGAACACTTTTAATCTCTCAAACAGCATTCCTAGAGAAATTATTGATTAAAATTTAAAATTGTAGATCCGCATTTTTCGAATTCAGCTAGTGAATAATAGAAAAATATATTATAACATATTTTTTAATGATTCCCAAACAACATTAATTTGTTTTTAATAATTATTTTTCGTCATTTTGCACTTACCTTAATTATAAATTCGTTATTATTCTACAAATGCTTAATTTTAGGTTCATCTTGATCAATAATTCGCTTATTTTAATATGTAATGCTAATATTACTAAAAACATTGTCAATCAGTGGTTACTGGTAATTAAATTTACTAAATAGGTACATAAAAATAGTGGATTTTCTTATGAACAGTGAAAGGACAATTCTAATAACATCTATAGTACAATTTTAAATAAAATTTTACTTAAAAACGTACTGAAAACATCATTAATTAAAATATCTCAAGTGTAGAAACTGCAGGGAACAACTTTGGCCTTTTACGTATCGGAAAACAAATAAATTTTTTGGGCGCTGTTCACGAGAAAATCCGCTACAATTACATTAAAAATCTCTGTAAAAATTAAAACGAAACAACGGTGCAGTTTATCGTAAACAAGTTTTAACTGATAAGATTTTTTTTACTTCTCGTCTTTTAATAATCGAATGAATCATTAGTACAATCGAAAGCGTACGTGGAGCTTTCGCTCAGTTGATTTTCGAGTATTAGTCGATAAAGATTGTATTGTAATTCGTGCGTCGTGGTTATTATCAATCTTCATCAATGCATTTCAACAATTTTGAATCAAATTAAATTCGAATTTGATAGCACCATTTTTCGCGTTTCGGAAGTTAAAAGTACCACTGTTGCCAAAAATCTCATTGGAAAACATTTGGATTTCCTGGTTGATATAGTCTCGTGGGCTCCCACCGATTAGTTAAGGTAAATGCAATTTTTAGTATTACGCTATTTCCTAATTATTAACGTAGCACCTTTTCTGAAATCAAGATACAATCAAAAATCAAACAATCTTTAGTAGTACGTTAAAAAAAATTAAAAAAAGGAAATGTAAGTCTGAAATACGAATATTAAATTTGTAAATAAAACAAAAACATTGAAATGGTAAAAACAGAGAACTTTTATTTAGGAGAGGATTAAGAGCGACACAACAACACCAATATACAATATATCGAAAAAAAAAACTAAATAAAATGTAAATTTGTATTTTAACAAAAAAAAATGATATCTATAGGAATACGATTTTATTGAAATTATATATTCAAATAAAATTTTATATCTTACGAGACACTGCATTACTTAAAAGTGTATTTGAAAATATACTGTAGTAAAATTTATTTTAGTCGAATTAATTTCATAAAAGTATTCAATATTGTAAGCTTTAAAACAAACTTAAAATAGTAAAAAAAAAATGATGTAGTATTTATAATTAGAAAAATTTTTCGACTTTTATGAATAGAAATAAAAAAATGCCTGCTATTATCGAAACGATATTAGAGAAACTTTGAGAATAGCAGGCATTTTACTTAGTTTGTAGCTGCACAGTACCTACATATATCTATATTTACTTGTTTATAATAATTCATTAGGAGTTCAAATTATTGTTATATACACACTTCCGATAATGCGTACGATCGTATGCGTTCACTGTACTTTTAAAATGGTCACTGCACTCGATTTCTTTCTATTTTTTAAATTTTAAAGCAATAACCTTCACCCTTTATAATTTACACACTTTAGTCGATATTTTAATGGTAAATATACGTTACCTGTGGGGTTCTAAGTAATTTGCAAACGAGGAATTTTTCGGTGTTATTAAAATAGTTGTTAAGTGTTTGTAAATCAATTTTGTAGTTTTATTATATTGAGTAAATTTCAAGTTTTTTTGGCAAAACTTTTTATAGTGTTATTATACAGGGTGTCCCGCAAAAGTTCTGACACAAAGCGGGGCATGTAGGGGAGCCTAATTTATGCTATAAGTAACAGTAATATAAGTAATTTCAATCAAAGTTTTTAAGTAACATTGATGGTGTACTTGACTTTATTTTTTATCGTTTTCATCCAAATGATAATTAATTTAAAAAAAAGAAAAAAAATCAAAAAGTTTTAAAATATTACCTATGAAACGAACTAATAATTTTTGAAATCATCCATCAGGTAACAAAAAAATATGTAATATTTTAAGGGAGTATCATTCCCAATGAACCCTTTAAAATGCATGAATTGTTCTCTCCCAACTATCGATTAATGCTCTTAGTACACTAGTAACTTATACAAAATTTAGTTGTAGTAAGTTTGAGTGTTACTAAGATATTATTTTTTTAATTTGTAACTCCACTTAACTAATTCCACTGTAACTAACTTCGCAGGAATGTAACTTTGTATTAAGTTAAGTTGGGCAAAACAACAAATTTTGAGCTCCTCTACACGCTCCTGCTCTGTATCGGTTCTTATGCGGGACACGCTATACAGGGTTGGGCAAAAGTCCGGAATAAAATTATTATCTGTTGAACCATTAATTTTAACAAAAAACGCTGAACACGTAAATTAATTTTATATTGGACGGATTTGTTGCCAATAAAATGATTTTTTTTTCTTCAACCCCTTAGTTGCAACCCTACCCAACTTTATTTTTTTCAAATGCAAAGGTATGTCGTGTGTAGGGTCATTGAAAAGCCCGTGAAAAATGGAATCTAAAACATACCTTTTTTTTTATTTTGTCTCATGTTGTTATTTGGAAGTGGGCAAAAATTCCTTTTAAAAACAAAAAAGTTACAATTATCTTTTTAGTGCTATCGATGTAGAAATGTTAAAAATATCCTCCACCCTCTACTTAACAGGCTCCAAGGCGATGGTAAAACCTAATATCGGCAGCCTATCTTTAATACTGAATGAATTTTTATTACAAACAGGCGAGCCTGGGCAAGCAGCACACCAAATTTTATTGATTTTCCGTTTAAAACTGATAAGACATCTTAGCATCAACATTCGTTGAAATTTATGTTTTAAGAAAACACTAAAATATAAAATGGGTTTAATTTTAAGCCATTGTTTATCAGTGAACTTTAAAAAGGAAAAAAGGTGTTGCATTTTTGTACAAGTTTTTTTTTACCTAAGGTTCGCATGTTTTTATTAAAAAGTCATTTAGAATTAAAGATATGCTATCGATATTACGTTTTACCAATGCCTGGGAGCCTGTCAAGTAGATGGTGGAGGACATTTTCAACATTGCTACGTCGATAGCACTAAAAAAGTATTTGTAACTTTTTTGTTTTTAAAAGAAATTTTTGCCCATTTCCAAATAACAACATGAGAAAAAATAAAAAAAAAGGTAGGTTTTAGATTCCATTTTTCACAGGCTTTTCAATGACCCTACACACGACATACCCTTGCATTTGAAAAAAATAAGTTGGGTAGGGTGGCAACTAAGGGGTTGAAGAAAAAAAAATCATTTTATTTGCAACAAATCCGTCCAATATAAAATCAATTCACGTGTTTCAGCGTTTTTGTTTAAATTACTGGTTCAACAGATAATAATTTTATTCCGGACTTTTGCCCAACTCTGTATGTCATTAGATTTTGTTATTAGATTAAGAAGTTATTTGAAGTAGTTATCTAAAAAGAAAAATTCACTTTGAGGTTTTGAATATTCCAGCACTGCTGTAAAATTAAAATCAATGAATCTGGTACTTTAACCAGCTGGTCAGTGGGATGTTTATAACCCTTAGGTAACGTTCTTTTACATAGAAAACAACCTCTATGAGGTTAATTTTATTTACCTTAATCAGCCTATTTACTAATCAACCACTTACATTCAAATTATTTTTGCAACACATTCAAAAAATCGTTTATATTTAATCCTTTTTAATTAATTTTTTCCTCTTAGAAGTTATGGTTTTAGTGGAAAGTTGAGCTAGTAGTCATCTGGTATTTTGAAAAAAAATTGAGTTTTAATTTTTAAAAAACCATAACATTAATAGAAAAATTGTGCACACTGTAAAATTTGTAATGCTGTGATTATAATTTCTAACAGTTTTGTTAGAATCGTTTCAAAGTTAAATTAAATTTATTTGTGACTAATTTACTTGTACTTAACTAGATTTTAGAAATTTTACCTATCTATTATTGTTATTGATTTCTATATTTTGCTTAATCTATGTATCGGCTCTTTGTCCATTCCATTACGACAAAATCTCGTTCCAATTTTATTTTGATACGTTATTATCTTCTAGTTGACCGTTTTTATATAGGTATATCTACATGTATTGTTGAAATTGTTGAATTCAATTCGTTTCGGTTTTACTATTAATTTTTTATTGATCCTTATTATTATAGAGTGCAGTTGTTAACTATTGGTACATAATATTGTGACTAATAAACACTTCCTGAATTTATAGAGTTTTCTTTTAAATCAGTATATTTAACTTCTAATTTTAGGGTTTAGGTTCCCATAACAGGAGACACAAAAGAGAAAATTAAACTCATATTAGTTTGTAAATAAGTTTTATTATAGTTAAGATAAGGTCAATATGTACAAAAATTCTAAATTATTATTTACATTATAAAAGTCACTTTTTGTCGTCTCACTCAAAATTGAAACTCAGAATTCATTATGACTAGCTTAAGAAACGTATTTTTAAACGAACAAAAGTAGGCCGATTCATCAACACATCAAGTTTACAAAAGAAATTACTGGGCTTTATTTTAACTGGAAATTCTGTTTATTTTGTAAAATATTTCGACTGCAAATTGGTGTTGTCAAATGGGCTCTTTGAAAATCAAGTCAAAAATTCTTTAAGAAAATATTTTGAAAAAACCATCAACGAAACCGGAAAGGAATGCAATATTTCTTATTTACAAATTTTATTTCCTTTAGGTAATATAATAAATTACAGTAGTCATTTACACGATAAAATTATGTACAAATATGCCGAAATATTACATACTATATACATCGATTTAAATATTCTCAATCCCATTGAAAATACGAAATCATATTAAGATTTTATTGGTTTGGGCGGCAATTGAAGAAATTTGCTTGGAATAAATTACATACATTCAATTAGACTTTTCAACAGTTCCTTGTATTCTAGGTACCTAATTATTTTACTTTTTGAAATATTTTAACTTCAAAAACCGCTACCAAATTGAACATAATCGATACATTGTGACAAAATGTTTTTCAAATTCTCCACAAAGCATGAAATTTCAATTTAGTCACAAAATATCACATATTTTTTTCGAGATGATTCTGTTACTTCGAAAAACATTCAAACAATTTTAAAATGTTGGTGAAATAAATTTTTCAGTTTTAAGATCACTATCATTAATTTCATAAACAATTTTTCTTACTTTGTTATAAATTATCACACAAGAAGTAACAGAAACACGCCGTGTTCAGTCCAATCAATATTGTAATAATTACGATGGTTTATTTACAAATAATGACTTCTTATAGACATTACATTATATAATACACATTATACCATAAATTAACATTTATTTTCGAGTTATAGCACTTTTTTTCGTACATGTACATTATACAGGACGTCTTTAAAAATAAATACAACTTTAAAACAATAAATTATTCTTGAAATTGGCGTTTGAACGAACGCAAAATTAAAATTTAACTCGTAACATCCTGTAATAAATTTATTTCATAAGAAAAATGTGATATAGTCAAATCGAACACTAATAATTCGAATAGTGTTAGAAGTGAACCGATTGAAAATGAAATTTGTGTTGGAATTTAACGTGGAAAAATTTTCAAAGTAAAATATTACCTATTTAAAAAATTAAGTGTAAAACACAAAAAATTTAAATGCTAACTAAAATTAAATTCGTTTAAAATTCAGTTAAATTTTATTATACAGTGCTAGTTTTAAGTGTTACCCCGTAAATAATTTTTTGCTGCAGGAAATCCAGGAAAACTTTATAAGTAAATCATTTTTTAACGATGTAATTTTCATTTACATTATTTAATTTCCTCTCCAGTACTATCAAAAACTTGCAAATATTTAAACAATGAATAAACTTATAAAACTAATTAAATCTCCCGTACATATTAGAAATGTACTGCAAGATAACTTCTGAAGTTATTCCTGTATTTAATACCGCAAAAACTTTTTACATAATATACATTTACGACCAGCACTGTATAAAATTTACGTCAAAAATACCGAACACACCGTCGCACCGGGATAAAATAATACAATAATAATAGTAATAAAAAATAGTGTATACACGAGTATCACAGATTGCTTACGAAATAAAATAAAGTCATTGGTGAAAATATTACCAAGTGATCCAAAACCCAATGGAAACCCTACATTCGAATCAACCCCAGTAAATTTTCACCCAAACAACTAAAATTAAAATTCAACAGTCTCTAAATAACCGAATGATCACACACTGGAATGAATGGAATCGAATTTATTGCTCGAGTTTTCTCAATTTTAAGCACTAATGTTGATACAAGTCGACGTGGCACTTCGGCAAACCGTTCCTTGTATCTTTCAGCGATCGTAGAGAATGAGCTCTGCACGTATCACCATTGAAATAGGTGAATCCAGTGGCGGGTAAGGTACCCTGAGGGCCCCGAGCAGCACGCCTACCCTCTCCATCTAAACAGAATACCTACAAACGACAATCATCATTAGCTCAAAACATTAAAGCGGGGTAAATATAACTTACCCCAGAAGGCGGCGCGCTGAGCTCTAGCTACAATTCCGTCACCGGTATCGGCTTGATATGGTGCTGGCCGGTACGGGTGATGTAATCCTCGTCGGAGAAGGTCTTCTGGTACTCGTGCTCTTTCCTGCTGATGGCCCGCTTGTTCCACTTGTACTCCTTGAGAGCGTCGCCGACCCGCTGCCGGTAGCGGAACAGGAACAGCACCAGGAACAGGATCAGTATCGTCGCCGAGACGCAGAACGTGATGATGATGGCCTGCTGTCTGTTGTCGCGAAACGAGCAGCCCAGATCGTACGGCGTGAGCGTGCGCAGGGAGCGGTCGCGCAGCTGCAACGGCGTCGAGCACTGCACGTTCGTGATGTTCTTCGAATTGATGGAGTTCAACAGCCACAGCAGCTGGCAATCGCAGTTTATGGGATTATCGGTGAGCTCCAGCGCTCGTAGTTCGTTCCAGCTGGTTACCGATTCCGAGAGGGTTTTGAAGGAGTTCTCGCGGAGCACCAGGTGCCTCAGCTTCGGCAGGCCCACCAGAGCGCCGTCTTCTAGGCTGGTCAGTTTTTTATTGCTCACTAATATTATGGTTTCTAAGTTTAGGTTTTCGGAAAATGCGCCTTTTTCGATATACTCTAGGTTATTGGCACCTGCAAAATGTAAATTACAATAAGAAAAAGAATGGTGATGAATAATAGGAACCAAATTAAATTATGAGAAAGTATCTCACCTGTGATATCAATTTTCCTTAGATTGGTCAATCCCTTGAAAACACCCTTGTCAATTCGACTAAACTCATTTTGGCCTATCGTCAATTCTTCTAGTCTATTTAAATGAGCTAGCTGCAAGGTTGGAATGGTCTGGAGTCTGTTGTCTGCTAAATTCAAACTCCTCAGTCCATTGAGGCCTCTAAAGGCGTCCATACTAATGTTGGACAAGCCTCCGCTGCTTATATCAAGTACGGCCAGTCGACTTAGTCCAGTGAAAGCATCGTCGGTGAGTACTGTAAATCCATTGAGACCTACGTGTAGCTCCGCTAAGCTGCCTAGTACAGAAAACGATTGGGTCGGTACTGAACTTAACGCGTTATCATCTAAGTAGAGCACTCTGAGACTCAGTAACCCATCGAAGGCTAACGGATCTATTTTAGATATCCTGTTTTGGCCCAAATTAAGCTCCTCGAGCTTGGGCAGTATGGTAAACAACCCCTTCGAGAGTTCTTCCAAAAAGTTCTCCCTCAAATTCAGCACCGTCAACGATTTCAATCCTTGGAAAGTCTTGTTGTTGATCGTCGACAGTTTGTTCTTGTTGAGGTGCAACTCCTGTAGTTTCTCCTGGTTGACGAAACTCCTCACCGGTATGTTCACCAGATGGTTGCTCGACAAATCGACGTACTGCAGCTCTTTGTAGAACTGAAAAGCGGCGTCGATGGTCTTGATTTTGTTGTTCCTCAGCACCAGTCTTTGAATTGCAGGGTTTAGGGTTATGGGGATGACGTCCAACTTGCTCCGCTCGCATTGCACCACGAACGTGTCATCGTTGCACATGCAACCGGTGGGACATCCGAGTGACGAGGCCGCCCAAGCAGAGCTGGTCGATGCCATGAGGATGACCACAAAGAATACGTAAGCAGTCATCACTGAAGTTCCAAGTATCTGCAACCAATTAAAAATTATTAATGTACGTAGTAAATAAATTGGTAAGTATTCGAGCAACAGTAAGTAGCAACCGTATTTTTTAAAACAAATTGATGATTATTGTGATTATACCCTGGAAGATGTTTACGAGTTTAACGTGAAAACTAATTAGTAACTGCATGTCAAAAGGGAAGGAATGTTTTGTGCCGTCAACGGGAACGTATATAACGAAATTAAAAACTCGAAAAATGTTTATATTGCTACTTAGCACGCTATACGGAACTGTTGACTGAACTTGAGAGATTTAAGTGCTCTCTGAAAAATCCACAGCTCGACGCCGTGAAAAATGTTCCGTGATTAAGGAGTTGAGATCTTTGTTCGTTAGAACGATAGGCAAATAAGTGGCAAGATTTATTATATATTTTATACTATAACGGGTTAACTTTTCCAATTTACTAGGCAAACTATTTTAACAATTTAGACCGGATCATATTAAATTCTAGCATGGCTAATTTAATGGTTAACATTCTTTTAAATACTTATAAAAACTAAAATCTTGTAGAACATTTTAAATGCGTATTGTTCCTATCCACTATTTTCATACTTTTACTTCAGAATTTCCTGCTAAATTTACATAAGACACCAGTTTCGCTTATATACGCAAATGAAACGTTGTTTTAAAACAAAAGGCACTTGACCTATCAGGTATTATTGAGATTCTACCTAAATAAGAACAACGTCGAATATACGTTTATGCGAACAATGGGACTTACATTATACCTACTAATTTGCAAATGTTTATAAATGAAATGCCACTTGAAATTAATACCACAATTTTCTCATGTCAGCATTGCTTTATGCCATCCTGTTGCATTTAATAATGAACAAGCCTGACCTTCACGTAATTGGTACTTATTCTCATTGGAAAATAGTATTAGCGGTATAAACTCACATAGGGCATACTTTTGGATATTTCTAAAATACAGGACCCTATCCATTCACCTCTTACTGCAATGTTTTTATAGAATTAAATAGTAATTATAAACTTCTTAGTATAGATTCATAACTATCATGAGAATTTAGAGTTGAGCATATACAAAAAAATGTTTGACCATTCCGACTAAACCCGCTGGAGACTCTGAAAGAAGTCGGAAAAAACTCAAAGTCGTTTAAAATTTCTGTTAAAACAGTTTTGAAACATTAGTGGTTTCTTTCCGAGAAACGCTAAGAGAATTTAAATGTACGTATGGGATGAGGCAGAGCGAGCGGGTAATATACCTACCTGAGATGGAATAGTGAGAGGTTTATGTCATAGTTTGTGTAACTCCAAGAATGACGCGAATGGCAATAAAGTTTCGTTGTGTAAGACACCGCAAGTCGTTTATTGTGGTTTAAGTTTATTTTTTTCTTTATAAATTAGTAGCATTAAGGATTCTAAAATGCGATCATAAAAAAATAGTTAGTTTTGTATTCAAAAAACTTGTTTAATTATGAGAAATTCATGCAAAAATATGTCTACAGGTCGTTTGAAAACGATATAAATTTTTTTTAGTTAAAAATAGGATTAATTTAGTAGATTTGTGGTCGATTTCAAGAAATTTTTTGATTGCTAGTTAGGCATGCAAATTGATAAATCACCGTCAAATCTGATTCAATGATTAAAACTTAATTGTCAATCAAAAGTTATATGAAATCAACCATTTATTTTTTAGGTAATTAGATAATAAATTAGATAATTCATTAGATGACTACTAAACTTTTGTTCGCTCCTCGTATAATTGGGAAATGAAAAATCAATAATGAAAACAATCCCATGCTGTTTTTGAGATATAAAAAACTGTAGAAAGATATTAAGTATATCCCTCTGGTAATTGTCATCAAAGGTTAATTACGAATGAAAATGATTAATGATAGCCGAGAAAAATGGAAGTTACAGCAAACGCGGGATGTACGAAATGACCGAAAAAAACTGGTTAATACACCGCTTCATTTTTCGACCCGTCATGATTAATATTTCCCGTAGGCGTGTGTATCGAGATTTTCCAGTACGTAATTATCTGATAAAAAAAACCGAAGAAAACCATCTCGAAATTAAATAAGTAAAACGACATTTTTTTCACGAAACCACATGAAGAGCACCAATTTATCAACCTGATATATATCACCAGAAAACAAATTCCGAGTATAAGCATACCAATAAAATTCTTTCCCACAGGTTCGAAATAATTCAAAAGTGAAAAATCGCTCTCGAGATTATTCGTGAGCACGACGAAGACTCCGAGCGGCAACCGGCATCTTCGAGTCTCGTAAAAAAATCTCTATCTAAACGCCATACCGATCTCTCTCATAACGTATTCGTGCGGGGTTCCATCCCGCAAGAGGGGTTACGGCATTTCGCAGAAAACACGCTCAATTCCCCTGGATATAACCTGGATATTTAATAATCTTTGCTCAAAGAAATTTAAATAGGAATTCCTATAAGCATATCACGTGGAATCTAATCTAATCGTAGCCAATCCGGAGATTCCAAGCAATCGATAATTAATAAACAAATATTAATGAAAGTTTGTTGTTTTTTTCTTGGACAATAAACATAGCACACCCTTCTCAATAAAAACCTCTGCTCGGTATAATATCCTGCGGACAACTTGGAGGCTAGGTCGGATTTCCCCAGACGCCGTATTTTACTTTCAAAACACGCCGCCGTCCTCCGCTGGCAATTTGCATCCGTTTTCGGGCGGGACGGAGGATCTCTGGATCTCCCGGATGTGTTTCGCCGTGGAGAAAACTCTCCTCGGACCTCAGCACACACACATGCACAAACACTCGCACCTTTTCACCTCTAAATTCAATCACTCGCCGCCGGGGTCGGGCGAGAACGTGAACTCGATACAGAGACAAAAGTTTCGCATTACCCCGGAATAGTGAATAACTTACTTTTGAGGAAGCCGTAAAGGATTTGGGATTTGGCTCAGGAAGTGTCGGTTCTATTTGCATAAATTATTTATTTTACTTTAGTTTCGGCTGTTTGATTCGTTTCGTATTCAGACTTCGGAGTGCTTTTGTTTAATTAGCATTGAAATTTGTGCTAAACTTATATTCAGGAATTTTATGAAGAAACTAAATTTGAGTTTGTATTAAAAATTTTCTGCCTATTTTTAATAAACCTTTATATTTGTCTTTATTAAAGAGGCACCTAATTTCAATAAACTTCCAATTACTTATTTTAAATAGTGATTTTGTTTGGGTAGACTTTTAAGTAGAAATCTACAAAGTGCTTTAATATGTTAATTTAATTTGGTTCTATAAAGAAAAATAATATCTGGATGATATTTATTTATTCTTTTTGGTACGACCCGTATATTCTTAAGTATCTTAAATGACTTCAATTATGCCGCTATTAGGAGCAAATGCTTTTCACTTATTAGTCAAGGAATTGTGTAAAAGCCGTTTTTATATATAAAAGAAATATAAAAAATGGTGTAATTCTCGTTCGTTAATATGATTTATGATTCGACAGGTGAATATTTCAGAAATGTAACATCGTTTCCTACGAGAGCCAATTATAGTTTAATTGTATCTAATAACATGGAATCCAGTCGAAGGTAAAAATTGAGCGTAATTTCATGCATTCTTCTCATAGAATGGTTGGTTTCAAAACAAATTGTTGGAACTGCCTTGATGGTTATCAGTAAAAAATAACATGGGATGGGTATTTTTACCATAAAAAATTATAACGATATTTTTTACAATGCTATTATTACATTTCATTATTTATGAAATGCAGCTAATTTTATTGTTATTATTTATTATCATTAAATTCAGTAAAACTCCACATTACAAATCATCTACATTTTCTTTGATCCACGTAATGTATTTGCTTAATTTCGTGTAGATCCCGGAAGGACCAGGAAGAGCATTTGTATCGATGATAAACGATGCTCTCTGATAGTTAAAAATCCAAGAATGAATACCATAGGCAACACCGTCCTTAACAATAGGACTACCAGCATCGACAAGTTCGTTATAATTAGAGCCGCTGGTCATTGGACCTGTGCACATAGATACATCTTTATCTAATGTCACTGCATTTTCTTCATTGTATTCAAGGGCCAAGATTTTATCGTAACATTCTGAAAAACAGGCTTTGCAGCAACTAGACTGTTTGATGTATGTTGTTGTATCTTCTCCGATTTCTTGACTACATACGTACCTTTGTAACTAATTGAAGTATATTTCTTGGTAAAATAAAGCCTGGGATCTCTTTTGTCTAGCCAGCAGCCTTGACTTTTCCATCCAGCAAATTCTACATTTGTACCATCATCTAATTCAGCTCCTTCTGCTGGCAGTTTAATAGCACCAGTGCCTTTGTCGAACTTCAACGGAGCATTCAATTTTACGATAGCAATGTCATCAGGCATATTCATATTTACGCTATCACTAAAATTACATTCCGCAAAATATTTCACTTTAATTCAAGACAAATTTGGCACTTACTAAGTAGGCAGGTAATTAGGGTTAATTATAATATTTGCTATACCGACTTCTTGCTTGTAAGTCACATCACCTCCCTCCAAATCGATTATACCGGTGACTATTTTTAAAACGGCATCGCGGCTGTCTTGTTTATTAACGCAATGAGCGGCTGTTAAAATATAGTTAGGACTGATAATTGTACCGACACACTTTATCAAAACTGAACCAGTGTCAGGACAAGGGGTTCCTTGGAGAGAAGCTATGTAGGGAAACTGGCCTATTGTAGCGCTGTCGCCACCAATTAGTCCATATGCGGAAGCTATAACATAACGTTACAATGATAAATTTATCTGAATAATGTTTCTTTAGAACGAAGGTACCTAAACAGTGATGTGTTCATGAGAAAATCCTGCAATTAGGAAAGAGTATTACACCATTGCATTACATTATAACAATTGCCGAGTGAATGCACACAAGTTATATTGAAGGTGTTCTCATAAAAACATCAGTTCTTACCGGAGGTATACAGAAACTAGAGTGCATAGTGTAAAAAAATAAAATAATTATAGAAATATATAGTACCTATTGCGACCATTAGAATCAAAAAGGACACAAACAGCCTCATTTTTATTAAGCACGTGATTACTTCGAAATTTATTGTTTGATTGCGATAATATAAAATAAATTAAATTTTAAGGACGGTGTAGACACATTATCTGATGATAAAATCCGGTGAGTGATGATAACACAATATTTAATAGATATTTTAATTCCATATTGTGATATCTATTGAACTCATCTAAATGTCTACACCCTCTTCATTTCTCTAAAATGTTCACCGGCACGACTGATAAAGAGTGAGTACATATTAAAAGTTCGTAAAAGATAAACTTAATTTTAAAATGGAAATATACCCATCTCATGTTCGTTCCTAATGACTTCCTATATTAATAAAAAACACCTAGATTTAGTAAAACATTATTAACATTTAATTTGTTAAATTACAACACATATCTATTAATTATATTTCAATAACCGATCATACTCTACTATAACTCTGTTTTGTATTTTATTAGGTAATCATTTTCTCACATATTAAGATGATTATTATTGATTTCTTTACTAATTACATAGATTACATACTATTTATAGACACTTATAGTAAAACAGCTCGTCAAGTTTCATTGATTTTTAGTAGTTTTAGTTGTCCACCTTGTCAGATGCTTGACTATTCCGCGTAGAATGAATCCATTGTATTGTGGTTGTGTGAGTGACCATAGAAAAACGAGGAAGTAACTGCACACACACTTGAACTTGCAGTATAATTGCTTGATTAAATTCAATTTAAACTCGCCATGAACTAGGCACGTTCACGTAATCACATTCTCCTATTGGTTTCGTTTTATTATGAGAGTGACGGTTCGTTTCTCTATATACTTGCATTTCTACATTATAAATAGTTGGTTTCTTTTTCTTTTGAATAAAATATCGCAAAAGGTATAGGGAATTTAGAACGTCGGGATTAAATATCTCACCGTGTACATGTATCTACTGCTCACGTCTAGGATGTGTATATACAAGCATTCGCTATACATAAATTTGTTCTTATCTTGATTTACCGTTGCGAAATAATCTTGATGCGCATCGTCATGTTTTATGTAAAGCAGTTTTAATAAATACGAAGGTTTCACTTCATTTTAAGAAAGAAAAACATCGTGGGTTGACCGCAACAATATGAAAATGATTGTGGATTAAATCAATATTTTTTTGTATGATACACCTAGCTTTAAGAGTAGGTACGTACATATGAGGAAGGTGATGTAAAGAACTTATAATATTAGATAAAAGAAATAATAAAAAAAATAAGGAAATGATGTTGGTGGAACGAAATTAATACTTAAATATGTATGAAAACCAATTAAAGATAAATCAATCAATGATAATTTAACGAGAATATTCCGCAAAAACAATTTAATTGGCACCGAGTTAGATAACGTTAGAGATGCTTGTGATTGTAATTATTTGCCTAGTAACATTAGCAGGTTAGTATACCATAACTTTTATTATTAATAAAAATTAATTAATTATACTTAATTGGAATCATTAATTGTGCGTATCAAGGTAAAAATTAACATTGATATCATTTCCCGAATAACAATTAAAGTTTGACGCACTTAATAGATCATGTAAGCTATACATTATGTGATATTACAGATCCTTCATTTCAAATCGATGGAGGCATCAATGCGACTTTCGGACAATTTCCATGCATAGCTTCGCTACAAAGAATAGGTTGTTACGGTAGCCCGATTACTTTACACGAATGCAGCGCTACTATTATCAGCCCAAATTACGTACTAACAGCAGCTCATTGCGTTAACAAACAAGATGGACAATACCCCATTCTTAAGGTTGTCACGGGATTACTCGATATTCGAGGCGGCGACGAAACCTATCGGCAAGAAGCCGGAATAGAGAAGATTATCATCCATCCTGATTACAAGACAACATAGTAAGCAAGCGTTTAGAAACACCATCTGTAAGTGCATAATAACTTTGCAGTATGAATTTAGCGAACAATTCGGTTACATGGCTCCTAATGACATAGCTATAGTAAAATTGAACGCTTCATTGCGATTCGACAACGCCACCAACTCCGTGAAACTTCCTCGAAAGGATGAGGAACTCGCCGAAAAGGAGGACGTCCAATTTGTTGGATGGGGCTTACAAGTTTGCTTCGAGAAAACGGAAGCAAGATTACAGACAATCGAGTATAACGTACTCAGTTACAATAGTAAGTAGATAGAGTTAAAAAAACCATTTGTGTTTATACCGGATGGTTCAAACTCTTACTGGTATTGTATAGCTTTAATTAATTTCTGTAATATTTTAGCTTGTTATAATGCTGTGTTGGACGTTTTTAGTGGAATCGAGAAACTTGTTTTGCTAGATAAAAATGTATCTTTATGCACTGGACCGATTAACAGAGGGGCAAAAGTGAATGTTGACGGTGATTCTGGCGGCCCATTATTATTGAATGGTACCGCCTATGGTATTCATTCGTGGATATTTGTATATTACAACCAAACACCTTCATTCAGAATACCAGGACCTTCTGGAATTTACGTGAAACTAAGCAAATATATTTCTTGGATTAAAGAAAACGTGGATGATTTTCTAGAATGAAAGTATGTACATTTTAAAATAACATAGGTACATACCTACTCATGTAAAAATAATGTAACTTAAAAAAAGTAAATATATAACTGAAATTATAATAAAATTAACTCTGTACAACAATAAACCGAAGTAATAAATTACCATTTCTATTTCAATCAACTCGGTCAGGCCTTGGAAAAAATCAGCGCGATTAATTATTCAGCGACGAATGGTAAATCTTAGCATAATCGCGGCAATTAGAATAAAACTGAATTAGTAAATAATCGTTCCCGTTTTTGCAAATGAACGAAACAATGCTCGTTGTTTAGAATTAATTAAACTTGACAAAGTGATACCAGTACCGAGCTGTTCGTGTTTAAAATGTAAACAAGTTAACGTAATTAATATCGTGTTGCACTTGCATCGCGAAATGGATTTCTAAGTACCTATTATCTCAATTTTCCTCAAATTTTTTTTTATTATTGTTGATAATTGTAAATAAATGTAGTTAACACTAATATGGCAAAATACGTATGTGTACATTATTTACTTATGCTAATTTTTTTGTAATTTTAGCAAATGTTGCTAATACAATCAGCTTAGGTAAACGCCTAACATTTTTTCTTAAGAGTGGAGAACATAATATATATTTCCATTAATCTTGAAGCACACAATTTATTTACATCTCGTAATTACCTGTGATTGAAATTTTGAAACACTGTTAATTAAAACTTACATTTACGTTTACACTGCATTGACAAACGACTTTAACGAATGGTTCTTTTGCTTTGATACATTCTCTTCATTAACGAATCGAGAAGAATGAGCGTCCCGTTTCGGACCGAACCGGAATAATTAGGTTAATACATCTCAACCTTAAAATATGATTTCACAACAACAGCATTAACGGTGCAACTAGTGTACACGTTACGTGCAATTAATTAAAATTGAATCTGAATCGTTTTTAAGGAATAAACGAGCTGCATTCACTGCACACACAAAGGGTTTCATTAGCAGACGGAGATTCTTTCTTTATTTCACCGCTTGTACTAACGTGTATACATTCAAACGTTGCCGTTATTAAATTCCTGTGGAAAATGAACGAGCTTTTCGCCTGACGCGTACGTTGCAACATTGAATTTTCCTTTCGAAAAATTTAGTTGCCATAATTATAATGAAAATATTTAAATTTTCTACATTGGAATATGTCAGTTAGTGATGCTTATTCTCAATGAACTGTGAATATGAGCCAATTTTTGATTTCGATGAATCTAATTTTCAACGAACAATTTCTCTCCACCAATGCAATGTATTTTCACGAACGATTTAATAAGCAAATCAAGGGACAACGCCCTTCTCTCCCTTTTTTTTCAAAAGGTAGTCGACCGTTACAAGCACGCATTCGCCGTACATCATTCTCTTAATATAATTAACGGTCTGAGGCGGTGACGACATTAAAAAAAAGAAATTTTAGATGATGGTGTATAATTTTTAGGGTGGGTATACACGAAATAATACACAAGAAATTTAATACGAAATACACGATATTTTTATTTATAGAGTGTAATATCAAATAATTAATTGCTTCTTCTATTTCTGAATTCTTGTATCATGTATTTAAATTTTATGTAGTAGGTAGTTTTATATTACCGTCACAGCGTTCCAAATTGATGGTAATGAAATAAATAGTGTTTTTATAAAATAAATAAATAGGTAGGTAAGTATTGAAGATAATGTAATAACACGTTATTATAAAATTTAAGGAATTATTAATAGGATATGTTTTTTAAAAAGAATTTTTTAACGATATTTAAATAGGTTTTATTTACTCCAACTTTTAATTCCCTCTTTCACTGAATTTCACATCTACCTGCTGTGAAACCATTTCATCAATTCGTTCGGCAATAGAATACATAAATATTAATATTTTTGTGCTACATTTATTCGGCCTTAATTCCTTAAAATCCTCTTCAACTTCTACCGTTTCATATTCCTATCTAGTTAACCTTTCAAAAAAAAGCCAAGCGATAAAATATTCAGAATTCTTCGGGCCGCCGCGTGTACGAAAAGGGTTTTCCCTAAATACGAAACGACACCGAGACCCCACTCAATTAATTTAAAACACGAGACGAGCCGCTAATTTACAACATGCCAGTGGCAATAATTTGTCAGTGACACCCAGAAAAAAGTGATTGCCGCGTATGTGCGCAGGGAGTTGCCGGCTGTTTGTACAAGGAATGTACGTTGTGTGTGTACCTAGCGAAAATGGAAAATGGAACTAAAGCGAACGGAAGAGGTCCCAGCGGTGCGTGATCCGACCACGTGCTGGTCTAATCACGCACATACAGTTCCGTGAACCCAATAAGAAGAAAAGGGGAGCTTTGTCTAAATCCACCAGTGGCTCATAAGCGATATAAAACCTTTCCGTTTTAGGAAAGTATAATCTTAGATTATTTAAGGTACCAAAACTAGACAAATTACCGCCGTACATAATTAAACGTAATTCGATTCAAATGAAAAATGCGCCGTTAGAAAGTCTGTGTTGCTTTGTCTTCTGGTGGAAATAGTATTAAAACATTCCTGACATCATAAGACTCAGCAGGTGCTTTTCGCTCGACGTCGATCCCATCACGATGCATCTCCTTTAGCTCGATGATAAATTCGCTATAGCTTATTATACGCACTCACGTACGGAAAGGACGTGACAAATCGTCTCCGTTATGCACAAACCGAGGCTCTTTGATACGCCGAAATGTAAATTCTACGTTTCGTCTGTTTCGAATTTCAATAGAAGCGATTTCGTTTCTAGGCGCAATTCTGCCGTTTTCGAAGGAAAATCGACAATTAGATGAAAAGAGAAACCGCGTGTGTAATTTTGTATGTAGGTATTCTTGAAAATTGATCAAAAGAAAATGTATGAGTACCTAACAAAGCATGAATATTAAAGTTAATAAAGAAGGTTATTTAAATGAATAAAACGTAAATATGCAATTAAAAATCTAAATATTCCAACAAGTCATAAAGTGCGAACACGTTCCTTATTTACAGTCGGTATTTCGCAAGAGGAACAACGTCGTTGCCATTTTCCTGCCTATACACAACTCCGGTCATAAAAACCTTTCTACTTAACGATTTCCTTTTCCCTCGCCCATATACCTTGTCATTGCACATGCACCATTATATTTACACATGCCACGATCTACTGAATCTACTTAAGTCCGAATGCCTTCCGAGAGATTAATGCTAAAATATGGAGTAGTTTCCTATAGACGGCACGCACTCGGGATCAACATCTGCGCTAACTACTGTAGCTCGCATATAAACTTTGTCGCAGGGGTGGAACACCCTCTTCCAACAGCGACCCCAACTCCAGCCCCAGACACCCCTATGTCTGTTCGATTTATTTCCGCACAAAATAATTGGTCTGACCATTGACGGAGTGTGAAAGAACAGCCGGGCTGACTATTTTTCAGTTGCTATCTTTTCAATCTTATTAAATTGATACTTTTTATTCATATTACCGATGGGTCTCGTATTCAATACGCGTTGTGTAAAATGTGTGTATTTTTTTACAATTGGTAAAAAATCAGTTACTAGTTAACTTACCGTTGTAGTAGCTAGTTTCTTTATAGTTGAAATAATCTGGAACAAAATTAAATCGTTAGATAATAATTAAAGAAAATTACGAAATTTCTAACTCCTAGGTAATACACTAAAAGACACCTACTCGTACTAAATCGTTGAATTAAATTATTTCACGAATGTGTAGTAGGTAGGTACTACAAAATGCATTTATTTCTATAGAAATAAGGCTTCCAAACTTTAAAGATCTACTTTTTATATTCATGATAAAGTACGATAAGTATAACCGAGTTAAAACTTAAATTATTATTATTTTTGGTATAAATATGCCGCGACTTAATTAGAAAATCGTATGCCCTTCTTCTCCACCATTGCCCTTACTCCTTCGTCCCTTCTCGCTCGCTTCATTTCCGCAACAATATAATTATTTGGGCCATAAAAACCCCAACTGCCTTTCTTTTTTTCCTATTTATCGCATACAAAAGACATGCACGATGTAACATTAGCGCTTCGTTGTTGCATTCAATCCAAACAGAAAGCAGCTATTAACGAAATCACTTTTGATCCCCCGGAACTACGTAGAATCGTAATCTGCAAATATTTAACAACATAGAAGGAAAATTTGTTTGCCGTCCATCGAGTGCAGGCAGATGTATGACATTGATGAGTTAATTTATATATGATGGTGTAAGGGTTAAATATTTTTTTTGAAAATACGATTTGTGCATAATTTTCCAATTTTTCAAAGTAGCTCAGATACCGTCATGTTCGTAGTGGCTGTTGGAAGTAATCGACACAGTGAACTTGACACTCTTACAAAGAATATATCGACGTCGTTCTCCTCTTCCATGTTGAGCTGTTCCCGATAAAGAGCGAATAAATCCGGACCTTTATGCCGACTGTCGAAAATAAATGGATTTATTTATGCTCGATCCATTATTTATAGTTTTCGGTATACACCCATTCGGGGTATCAGCTCGTATACACAATAACGGAGCTACGCGGCTTTATTTCGGAAAAAACGACGCCCCGTTCGTGTATGAGATTCGATTCGGAATGTTGGAAATGTTCGGTGTTATCCGCGACTTCTGTATATCCAATATATTGGAATAACTGATGCAGCTTCTCCTTTTGTTATAGATCTGATGTTTTTATGGAAATTGGATATTTTTAACAGTATGTTTACACGTATTCTAACAAAGCGAGTGTATTTAATTAGTTTCATAACAAGTACTTGACTCTCTGCATATACAATTCTGTTATTTTTAATTTCATCTACAATTTTAACGGCGCCTAATACTCATACTTGTAGGTTCTTCATCATGCTTTGTTCCAATTAAAATCCAACATGCTTTATATTATTTTATTTACTACACTTTACTATTTACTACTCACTACAATTCAAAGCATTCATGTTTTTAGAACTCATAAAAATTTCAATTAATATAAATAAATCGAATATTAAACGATCGTATATGCTATTAATTGAAAACAATTATTAATTAATCATCGAGATTCAGCGCATTGAATAAATCTGTATTAATTAACGAATAAATAGATAAATGTGCTCTTCAAGAATGTTTATTGTACGTGTTATGGCTTAATGGAGACCAATCTAAATTATTAATATTAAGCCATTGACATTTATTAATGTTAGTTCGATTAGTGCAATCTGGAATTAGGTTATATCAATATGATGACTATTTTTTTAACCAGACTAGAACAACAGATGTTAATAATTTGCATATTGATGTCGTTTGCCGAACGAAGGTGATAAAAAATTCAACGAGAAAACCTAATATACAGCTCAGCTGTACTATTTCCATTGTTAGAAATGATTGTGTAATTGGGTAATTTGGCATTTAATGCTACATATTTTCAGCCAATTTGTTTATTGCCTGTTATTAGGAAAGCTGTCAATATTTTTACCTTCTGGAAATTTGAATATTCTATTAACCCTAATCGTCATGTATCGTCATATAAAATCAAAATTGCATTGTATGTATATACCTACATATATCTAAAAATTTAATGGTAGATTAATTATAGGTATATTGTGTTTTACTCCTGGTGGTGATTATCGCATTTTCTCATGATATATACTAATTTCCCTTGTACATAAAATATACATACACAATTGCGAGTCAAAACAGGCCCATATGCCGCTATATAAACTTTGAACCACATTATATCGGGTACCTAGTGGTTAATAAACCAGTACATAATTAATGTTTACGACCAATTAAAAAAATAACAAGCCAGCATAGCATGTTAAAATTTCCTTAATTCGTCGTAAATTACTAGACACGCTGAGGAAACGACCAAGAATTACAACCATTACATCAGTTTCGTCGTTATAATTGTTATTTAGCAGCGAGAACGTTTGCTGTGGGTAGTTCAGCCATTTTTATTTCTCTATAATCGTTGTTTTTATTATCCTAAATAATACGGTCCCGAAGCCCGTAACTTTTACAAGGAGCAAATCGTTAGTTCATATAAGTCATAATTAAAGATGCGCAGTAGTTAAGAGTACCTACTTAAATAAAAAAGGTAAAATTTCTGTTAGTAAATGCACCTCTTACTATGCCTGCATCAAAATCAACTCAAGATAGCTCTTTTGATAGTTTTTAGAACGCTACTTATATTGACCGCAAAACTGTATAGAAACACCAATAAGAATCAATAAAACGGAATGATTAAAACATTTTTTTTATTTAATTCAACTGGTCTCTGGAGCTTATCGTTGTTATGCGATAACAATCTTCCTATTCAACAGTCCTTAATATGTCAATGACCGCTCCTTGACTAATGAGAATATAAAACAAATACCAGCAAGCCGACGTTATCGCAAAACCGAACGATCCGAGCAAGGGAACATTGTTGATGTAGGTACTAGAAATTTTTAATTGACCACCTATTCGCAATGACCACGGGCTTATTGTTACATGAGTATGAAAGATACTTCATAATTGCGGTGTTTTGCTGGAAATCGTGATCGCAGACTGTCGGCTTCGACGGCTTTCCCAGGAAATCAGATTCCACGTTTTTATGTTGTAATGAATAGTGTAATGAAGGCACTGTTTAATGATGGGCCCAATAAATTGCATCTAAGATGTTTATTTTTATCGATACGTTCGATGTATTGTTGTCGATTTAATTGAAGTAGGTACACTATTATTTGAAAATTTTATGATAAAAAATTAAAAATAAATTATGTTTGTTACACAAGAAACAAACCTGTAAATGTCTCGCAATTATGGAACTCATTCACACAAACACACCTCAGAGACAATTTAAAGCTTAGTACAAAAACCTAATTTACTGTTGAGTAAAAAAAAGTAGAAGAATGAGTGATTTTCACGCACCAAATAGAAACTCTTGTTTGTTGTCTTCTCAGGAAACATCTTATTTACGCCAGTTTATAAAAGATTACCCTAATTGTCTGCCCGAGCAGGATGTATGTAATAATGGCGCAAGATTGTAAAAAAACCTGTCGAGATGGTGTTAAGACTCGAGGCAAAAAGTCGGTTTTGCGTGATTATTAAAACAATTACACGTTTATGCTTAGACTGCTATAAAATTAGCTTGCTGTACATAGTAAAGCTGTAACAGTAACAAACAATAAATTGCTTTCAAATGTCCAATTTAAATTATTGCTATGAATGGCCGATATTCATTCAAATATTATAGAAATGCGTAATTCTACATATTTAAATTTTAATTACGTCGCCTATCGACTTAGTTATGGTAATTTCGCCCGCATTTATTAACGCTTTAATCTCGATATTAAAGCGCTTTAATAACGCAGAAATTGTTCCCAGTTATCTACGCCGCTAGAATAAATCGTGACTTCTGGTGCAATCAATCGTATTATGCTTTTTACCGTGTAATTCGAACACAAAACAAGTGTGAAATTCCGCAATTAGGGAAATTTGCAGATAAAAGGTAGCTGCGAGTGCATGAAATAAAAAGCTTTTAAAAAAATCTACCTTTCAAATGAGGCATTTCACTATAAAATAGTACTCAACCAGCCACTATGTATGTAACTTAGGTATGTAGTATTCAATTTCAATTAATTATTTAGGCAGTGAAATAAAATGTATCTATTTGTATTCATGAGTAAATTATTCTTTAAAATAATTGGATTATTGGCCTTTTGGACCGAGCTCTCTGTCTCTAATTGTTTCGGTTGATAACACCCACAGATATCTACGCTTTCTAATATCTTAAAATTCCTTTTTAATGTAAACAATAAATCTTCGCGAATTTCCGAGCAAAAGAAGGAAAATCAGCCGTTCTACAATAACCAGAAACTTTTCGCGAACCGGTAAAGTCCCGATAAGACTAAAAACGGCGAAAGTGCGCAATAAGTCTAATTACGCCGGCTATCTCGGAGCGCAATTAACGGTTAGTAAGACAATATCTACTTGAAAAGTCTCTCACTTTTATGCTTCGGCCACACCAAGCGCTACGCTATGTTCGCTACGTTCGCTACGGACGTTTTCAAAATATAGCCGACAATCAAACATGTTGGCGACGTCCCGAACGTAGCGAACGTAGCGAACGTAGCGTCATACATCTATGTGGCCACGTCCGTTTATAATAATGGGGAATATTTTTAATGGACGTAGCGAACGTAGCGAACGTAGCGAACATCGCGCTTGGTGTGGCCTCAGCATTACTCCGCCAATTGCTAGCAGGCCTAAATAGCAATCTGTTCGACGGATCCCGAAGGAGCCCTAACGATGACGACTGGCCCCGTAGGCTCGCATTTCCATTCCGCTTCGTTCTAACCTTAAAGGTGGGATAACGTTTTTATCAACCAATCAGTTACAAAGTAACCTAATATTTCTCACGTACACGATGGGAATGGAGATAAATGGTATACAAGATAACCGAAGAAAATTAGGTGTGTAAAAAATTTAAGTGAGTGGGTTATGAATTTTACAATTATAGTTGATATGATACTAGTCTTACAATAAATGATTGTATTAATAGATCATATTTTTTCCCACTGCACTTGCTGGAAAAATGAATAATCAAAAATTACTCATTATTGAAATAAAATCTTTATTCCCCCTTCCTTATCAGTGAAAACGTTATTAACGTGAATACATTAAAAATTTTGTTGACACAACAATTACGTCAATGTGAACATTAATGTACATGTGAGTAATGTAACTATAATTTCATTAAGTATGAACTCGCTTTAATTTTTTAAATTAAGGAATATTCCTTCACCTTCACGTCCAAAAAAGAAACCCTAAAATGTAGCCCGTCCGGTCCGTTCGCATAAAAAATGTATTAATAAAAAAGGCTCGGAGTAAATAAAATAAAGGAGCAATATTCAGAAATAAAACGTTTCCACCTCTATCACTAATTCAGCGAACTGGAGACATTTGACGCCATTTGAATGTGCCCCGCGTTGCAGGAACTGGATGCCATCGCCCGGAATTTTATTTTCGAGCGCCCCGCTGTTTTTTTCCTTCGTTTTACTTCTGAAAATTTACTTCCACCGGATTAGTGGATATTAATTATAACGGGCGACTAGATATGCACAATGCTAACTGCTCGCGCGATTGTTTAAAATGAAATTAAGCAAAAGTCGGTGGCGGAATTAGCGAATAGCTTTTATTTTGTGTGTGTGTGCGTACTTTTATTTTTGCTTCGGCGAGTTGCGCTGTTAACGCTGTAATTAGGGTGCATTTTGTAAGTTTAATTGTTGTCTAGGGTATTTCGGACTTTTTGTTCGACCGCCGGCGCGCTTCTAAACAAGATTATTCCATTTAGATCGCCGGCGAATTTTGGTTTTCAAACTTGTATAAACTCGCTAATAAGCTATAAAACAATGCGATCAATTTATGAAAGACATTCAGGAACTATTTTCGGATAAATTTGAAGTGTTATAATAATAGCAAAGAAGCCAACTTGGACTTAAATAATAAATTACGAAACTTTGGATTTAACTTTTCTGTATCTAAATGGTTTATTACAAGGCGGTGTGTTCGTCTAAAATTACTTTATATTACAGGATTTCTATTATCTAAAAGCTATCTGTAGGTAGGTTATAAGTTGAGTCGTTCTAGCTCCTTGTGGAATTTGCTATTATATCATTATTGGATAGTAATCGATTTATATTCGCTCCTGAGGCTTGTTAGATTTGGCTTTGCTTGTTTAGATTGTTAGCTATATTTGAAATATCCAGACAACCATTTGAGATTTCTCTACATCCCGATTTGTATTTCTTGTTTTTGAAGAAATGATTTTATTTTAGGAATGGCTTAATGGAAATTATTTGAATATTTCTTATACCATAATTACGGCGATTATTTAAATAATGACTGTCGATGTTACGAAATCAAGAAATTATTAGGGTAGAATTTATCGACAAACTTGGCGGAAAAACGGGCATTGTTTCTCTCTTGACGAAGCGCTTTTAAAACAAATCTTTTCGTACGGATTTGAAGGACGCCAAATTACTCGGGAATATTGGAAAACTTTCGCTTTTATTTCCTCGACAAGTTTACAAAACTCATAAATCAGTTTTATTTCATAACTTTAAATTAAACAATTAATCAATTTCATTCGAACGACGATAATGCGTCCGATGAAAGCGCGGATATTCTTCAATTTAAAGTAAAATTATTTAGGTATAAAAGGTGTTACAAATGAACAAAAAAATACATATTTTTTGTGGCACCTGCATATTCTGTATTCTACAGTTATTGACATATTTATATAAAAATTATATAAATCCCTTAGGTTTTTAAGAAATTGTAGATACCTAGTTAATAAGAATATAATATAAAATTACGGTATTTTATCTCAATAAAAATGCGTTGTTCAATTCATCAGATATACCGATATAAGAGCTCCATTTTTCATGGAATCGAATTCCATCCAATTCGGAAGAATGAATAATTCAATTTACAAGAGCCGTAAACAAATCTTGACCCCGTTTAAATAGGTTCTAATCTCACAATGCTTCCATTTACCCAACCTTATTTTCAGAAACTGAAGTCACAGAAAGTACGCGCGTGGAGAAGAAATGACTGCGAACACGTTAGAGTGAAAGTAAAGGTTATTAATAAAGAATTAACACAATAAAACAATGAACAACAATTTGTAGGATTAATTAATGCAACATCACAGCGTTTTGTAATATATCATGTATACTTTAAATTTAGAATTGGTTGTCGTTTCCGCACGTTTTGTCATAAAATTCACAAGGAATTTCAACATGCTTGTATTATTTATTGCCTGTTATGACACTTCGATTAGGAAACTCTAAAGGAAAATATATGAATAACACAGCTGATATAAATTTAGTAGATGCTGTAAAATAAATTGTAAAAGTAGGTATTATAACTATGTCATTAAAACTATCTACAAAGCAAAATCATTTTATAGATGGCAGTAATTTAGTTTTGACTTACAAACCGCAATATTAATCCTTATACTTTGTGTATATTTACTAGCGGTGAATGCACGAAATCCACGAGATCTCCAGCTAATAAACTGATCTGTTTACAGGCTTAATTATTTAAACAATATAACGAAAAGCCCTTTCGACTCATGTATAGGACCCCATGAAGCTCTGGCTTCGTACCGTTACGTTTCCAAAGCAAACAACCGGAGTTTCGCCAAACATTGTGTTTACGTCGCCGTAATACTAGTCAGATCGTCGTAATATCCTACGGAATGCTGAACTTTGATCGGCGAACCGTACTTCCGACGCTTTAATAGAAGCAGACAGAACACAGTCTGGAATTTTTTACATGCCCTAGGAGCATTATGTATACGTACGTATACGTAATGTACGAGAGCAATAACGATAAATCATAAATATTACCAAGAACGGGAACAATGCGATAATGAATGCTATTTCGAGAAAATTATATTAATATTATGTAAATTCGCGATAATTCAACGGCCACACACGATTTCCCTGCGGATGGAAATTTTTGTAATTGTTAACGCCGCTTTTTCGAGAATATGGACGAATTTAGTTTTCTGGAAAAACATAATTCAGATAATTTACATAGTTAAGACAGCTTTATAGTACCTATCTATTACCCCCATATTACCGTGCTACTAAAATTATCTTCTACATCATATTAAATTGTTTGTTTCATACTTTCATTTCTTTGATATAACAATAAATTTGTAAAAGTGATAAATTACTTACCGTCATCTTAGAAAAATTTTTATGACATAGGTTTCGTAGCGAATCCACCTGAAACAAAGTATGCAATAATTATACACACCGCTTGAATTACACACTATTAAAATAAATGAATTGGTTTTATCCCGTCTCAAATCTCACGTGTGTGGGGTCTCTTATTACACATAACCGGGCGAACAATTTGTATGCCGACTATAAATTGCACTTTATTGACTATACATATTTATCTACTACAAAACCTACGTAGACATCAAAGGCTTATACCTGTTCGTTAGTTTATTTAGCTAGGCATTTGAAAGACTTTACACTACCCATTTCCAACTATAATATCAACTAGTAGATAAGCATTTTCTTCAGCGAGTAGAAAAAAAAATCATCCATCTCGAAGTAAAATACATAATTAAACCCGGGTAAATGCCACGTCGACGATGCTGACATTTATTCAGTCGTTTCCGCGACCTGGCCGCGTCTTTGATAAATGTCAGGTCGTATTTTTGCGGGACGCGACCTGCACTTTTATATTGTTTATAATAATAAACCGGACCCGTTTCGCCGTGCTCTGGAAATTCACGTAAATAGACGGCGGACGTGGAGATAAACTAAATCAAAAGAAAAAAAAAACAACAACGGGAAAATGGTGTACACACCGCCGATCCTCGCGGGTACCACGTAGACTTGGGGAGCGTGAGTAATGGAGTTGCATAAATTTCATTCGAGACTAGTACGTTTTGTCGATTTTCTACGTTTGAATTCCTTTTGAAATGTTTTTTCTCTAAGGAAAACTCAATTAGAATAGTGTTAAACACTACAAAGCGAACGTTCGGACTGAATTTCACTGTGGACGAAGACACCGTTTTATTCGCAACAAAAATGACAAAAATCTAAAATACGCATGCATATTTATAAGCTGATCGAACGATGAAAATTCAATACCCGACGGGGCGGGAAGTCCGGAATATTCGAAGTTACCCACTAATAATTTCGGGATTAAAATCGCAGAAGTGTTTTACCACTAAATTTGTTTGGAAGTTTTTTTTCGATTGGATTTCGCCGGGTTATCTCGCTTTTATGGTGATGAACTTTCCATTATGGAGATTAACTCAATTTCGAGCTTACATAAAACTTGGAAATACGACCACCCCGCGAATATCCTGCGCAAAAAAAAATCCTGAATTGTTTTTCACGTGAGGCAATAAATAGGATTTCATTTAATTCCAAACAAACTTATAAGTACCATATAAAACAGTACAAAAAAATAAACGAATAATTAAGTGGTTAATAATCCCTACCTTTACAATTTAATTCTTCACATACTAATACACTCGTGTATCAACAGATCAAACAGATTTTTTTCTGCAGGAATAGGAAACAGTGTAGTTTGTTTATACGCTATGACAAGGAGTTAATCCTGTGATTACCATCTTTGTGTACCTTTATTAAGGTTTGTTTTTCCAACATCCGCTGGAAAGGTCACGGTTTGTCTATTTTAAAAGAGTTTCCTGTCATTTTCATGGTGTACGCCTCAACACGATTTAACAAATAGTATAAATTATTTACGGGCGACTGAAATATTCGTTCATTAATAATTATCAGAGATTTTTTTCTCAAACTGGCGTTGTTTGGTGTAGTGTCCTTGTAAAGTTAATTAATTAGTCCATAAAATGGAAAAACCTCGTTAATTGTTTATAATTAAAAAGGCAGCATAACAACTAAAAACTAAGCAATCGAAACCGGCAATGAATTCCGACAGTAAACCGCCGAGATTTTCATAAAACGCCAGGATAAATCATAAATCATCTCTATTGAGCAGTATAAATCAAAATGTCCCCTGCATAAATCGACTCAGCCAGTAAAAGCGGGACCAAATCTGCTTGATAACGTGCCAAATAACTCGAACAATGCCATTGTAAAATAGTTTAATTGCCGATAAATTCATTTTTTTTATTTTCGTCCAAGTCGACAAATATCACGCTGCCCTGCTCGAGTGGTCAAATGGGCACAAAATTGGACCAAAAGTAGAGTGAATACATATTAGTTTCCTACTACTTTTTTGATTACATAAGTATACTTTTATACATCACCTAGGCATAATAAAGGTACAGCTAGGTGTAAGTATTGTTATTGATACCGCTAAAGACTGATTTTTTTTATTCTACATAATGTGAAAATCGGTCATTTTGGTTTAGTAGCTCGTTTTTGTCCGATGAATATTCCATCAGAAACAATGTGCGGGAATCCCTCTTGCCTTGTAAGCATTTTCAAAGTTTACTCTGCGTTACGACTACCAGCACAATTCGACCTCATATCTTTTTAAATTGCTGACCGAGTAAACAACCAGTCAGTTAGTGTGCAATACAGACATTAAAGTATATGAGGTAAACAAAAATATTTTTATATTAAGCTTAAACGCGAATTGGAATTTGTTGGGGATTAATAAAGCGTAAAAAATTCCCTATACATTTCGTCCATTTTTCGATTCCCGGTTGCCTTTTTCGTTTTATTTTTTAAAGTGGTGTTGTAGGTATATATGCAGATAGAGTTTTTCAATACCTACAAGGATAAACCTTAATGTTCCCGCCGTATACTTTAGAGAGATGTATGTGTTTCACTGCAGACGAAAATGGAAAAATAAGCATATAAACGGATATACGAAAGTGGAGTCAATATTATGCGAAAGGAAAGTATACCTTCGTATAAACGCAAAAAACGAATAACATATCTGGAACGTAAAGGTATTTTATGTATTATATGAACATAGCAGTAGGTACCTCTATACCTATCGTATAAAGTTTGTTTATATTATATTGATCTACTACTTATGGCTAAAGAATGTGTAGGTTTCATTAGAGTAGATTTAAATTTTAGTCACCTATTCCCATAAAAATGAAAACATGGAATACCAAACTCTGTCAAGTACAAGGAATAAAAATATAAGTTGAGCTATTAGGTGCATAAACCATTTTAGTATTCCAAAACAGACCTGCGTCGTTCTTTTACAACACGTACTTTTTCACAAGTGGGAATAAATGAAGAATAAAACATAATTTTCAATACATCAAGATGTAATATTACGAATTATTTTCTTGATATAAATGAAAGAAACGGCGCTTTAAACATTATTTTCTTATTTACATCGGTAATATCGGTATGAACGAAATCTGCGTGTACGACATCTGGCTAGACTAGGGATTATACGGAGTTGCCAGCGTTAAAATCCAATACCCAAATAGTTATAACAGAAATAAGTGGTGGGGTGCGCTAGATAAGGAACTCGATTCTTGGGTGAGACATCGAGCTGGACACCATTGTACATCTGATTATTCAAGGCCTATCAGACAACATAAAACAAGCGAGGAGCGTTCGGGAGATTTATTCGCGCCAAAAAACTATATAGGGCACGGAGGCATTTTTCAAGTTCTGTCCTAACCAGAACTCACATTCACATGCCGCTCGTTCCGACTTAATTTTCCGTAACAAAAAAAAAGAAGGAAAATCCCGTGTCGTCCCTCATACCGAATTCTCTCTACGTAACATTCGAAATATATTCCACGACCGGTGCAAAAAATAAAAAAAAATGTACACGGCGAAACGAAAATGCCCGAAATTCGATTAACATTCCGGAAATCATCGCACAAATTGAACTGATTTTAATAAATAATTAATGTTGACATCTAACATGTTCTATACAAGAGGTAGGTCCTATAAAATATAAGCATGCTGTATTAGAATGTAGCGAAATATTCAAGCAGCGACAGCGATATTTCGCTATGTACTAGGTATTTGTATATAGTTTTATCTATAGATAGCATCATAAATAAAAAATGTCCGGGATATCGATTGACGGCTATCGGGATATAACGTGCCAAAGCGATTTTCCGCCGTACTATTTTCCAGGAAAATGGAAATTCTCATCCGACGACGGGCAATTTTCAATCACCTACGCTCCTGATAGTGCTTATCTATTCCGGCAGCCGTTATTGTTCTGTTTTGCCATGTATTTATACAAGGGATCCGACCGAGATCGGTTTTTAGTCGTCGAGATCTATCTCTCAACTACTCCTGCTTCAAAGATATATGAACTCTTTTTCTGTTGCCGAAGATTTCGGACTTATCCGAAAGCTGAATTTATTTCGTTGCCGTTCGGATTTCAGGGTTGAAATTGGCCTTACGAAATCAGAAAAAGGACAAAAAAATTTATATATTTCTGCTGGATGTTTTTCTATTTCTTTATCCGGTGGCAAAAAAATAACTTGATTCGATCTTCCAATACATCTATTCCCCGAAAGTATAAAAAAGTCCAGGAAAAAAAATTGTATTGAAGTATACCCAATCAAAAAAAAAGTTGATACCTTTTAAAATCGCATTTAGACTCTTTGTTAACATTTCTATTACAATACAAGTAATTTCACGCTTAAAATCTCCACATCTAGAGACATATTGGGCTAAAATTTGAACCAGCAGGTGCCATCAGGTGGGAATATTTTTCGACGCAATCCCGAAAAAATTTCCATATTTCCGGAGAACAAGAGAAAAGTCTTCACAAATGGCCGTATTTATCACTCGCTGTTGATACCGCGGAGTGGATTATCGGGATGAACCCGTCGGGCACGATATTCCAGCCCTCCAAAACGATATTCGAGCGCGTTCCGCAGATTCATTTGTTCTTATTCAAAATCTGCTCGCAAGATTCACTCTGTCCGGAACAATTGTGAAAGGAAGCCCGCTCTCCGACACTTGCCGCTTCTGTTTTTTCTCGCTTTTTATCGACTGCTCTGAATATGAACTGCGAAGGCAGCGGGAAAAGGACAGAGCGAGATGAATATGTGATCGAACGAGGATACATATTTTTTTAGCGGGCGGTTGGATGTTAAAAATGAATGTTATTATTATGGTTATTTCTTTCGGCTTTGAATGGGATTATTTTTGTTATTCAAATTTCGCAGATATTTAAATTTCATTCGTTCGAGTTATTTTAACGAGGCATCGGAATAATTCGCGTGATTCGTGATTAAAGTTGAATCGTATCTGCCTTTCAATCACTTTCTTTTACCTAAGAGGTTATTACGGAAGCTCATTAATTTTTAATTGCGTAGGTATATACAATCTTAATATCAGAATCTCTGTGTTGCCGCACAAAACCGCCCTCGGTTGCACAAATGGGTTGCCGGTTAACTTCGATTTTTTTCTTATTCGATGCTTCCAGCACACAACACACTCTTTAGTTTCAGTTATCACGGTTTCACATCGCTTAGGCAAAAAGTGCTTGCATCATCCTGCGTAACTAATTACGTATCATATTACTCGACACAGTGTTTTAAAGCATGTAACACATTGTCTGGAAATATTCTATAGTTTCGTTTTCTTATTGCAAGTTCACCTGTGGTGCGACCACCAACGAATATAATTAAAAACCGCTTGCGCGCCGCTTTATAACAGTCATTGCGAACTAAATGAGTACCTGTACTTCGATTTTTTTTAATTTAATAGGAGGTGCTTAAGAGGCAGTTTTCCTGGCGATTTTTATAAAGATAATTTAACGTTAGAAATTAAATAAAAATAAGGAAAGTAAGGAATTCATTCATACCAATCATTGGGTTATTAAACAATGAATTAATCTAACGGAGTTGTTAAGAAAATAAATACCAAAAATATGACCATCCATTAAACCTGTCACTGAAAATCTTTCGTTTTCTGTTAATTAAAAAACGTGCTTTAATCCGTGAAAATACCTTGTCACTCCCTTTATAGTTATTAGAAAATGGAGGCTAATCACTTAATATCCGTGCGCGGCACACTTGGATCAACATTGCTGGGAAAATTAATTGAATTTTTTCATTAATCTCGCTTGTCGTTTACTGCATCAACTTATACAACGTGCACTGTCATGGTAATATTTCAGCAGAAAAAAGCTTATTTTTGGAAAAGAGCTTACGATGATTTATATTCTAAATTCGATATAACGTGCGCCAGTAGATTGCCTATGTGTAAAAGTGTTAAAGCTCTAAATAAATAATAAAAACGGGTTGTGTTAATCAAAACTATTAAATATATTTTGCACATATATTATTACACACTGTAACGTATTTTTTATTTCATTTATACTTATCACAATTATTATCTATAAATTACACTTGAATTATTAAAATAATTAAAAAAACTGTTTATTTAATAAATTATTTTTACCCAACCGGCTTATAAGATACGACGATGATTTGTGCTTTCAATTGGAGGAGAGAGATTCTCAGGAAAGGGCATTAGAAAAATTAACAAACAATCTCGTTTTCCGGATAAGGGCGGCGGGATAGGGATAATGGACCCTTTATTACATTTTTTTTCTTCAATAATTTTCTTGGGAATAAACGGCCGGTGGAGAGAAAATTGAATTTTTCCAACGTTATGTTTGCTCGCGACTTAAATTATAATCCCGTATTGAAAAACATAAATCTATAAAAAAAATAATAAAGAGCGGTAAAAATTCATTATAGGTCCTACTATTAATATTCATTACATTACCTTATTTTAATTTGGTCAATTATAAACTTATTTTTATGAAACAATTTTTTCTAATTAAAAAGGTGCACGAAGGCCCAATAACTTAATTAGTACCGACCCCCTTAACGATTCGAACCTATTCAATTTCCTCTATAAAAGTTGAAAATCGAGTTCTTTTAATCGCAATTAATTAATTTGCAATTTTCAGATTTCCCGAGCAAAAAAATTCGGCGTGTTGTAGGTCAATAACGATCTAATTTCGAAAATCGGATAGCATTCGAGCAATTCGTCGGGGGCGCGTTCATTTATTTGTTCCCGTTTAATTTCCATCCACGCCGAACAACAGAAAAAATTGTTTAGGTCGGGTCGAATCGAATCGAAACGTGGAACAGAGATCGGAAACGATGACTCTGGGATTTCTGCAAAGAAAGATAACAATGGGTCCCGATATTAAAGATGCTCGATGATTTCTGCTTTGCATACATCATGATGTCTGTCTCGTGATTCGAAAATTGGCATTATTCTCCGAACGAGACGTCCGTATTCAAAGGGGAGATAAATAAAAGGCAGGAGTCGGGTTATTTTTATATGAAACTCTTCAAAAATTCCTAAACTATTAATTCTACAAATAAGTATGCTGACCTAACTCTCCGTTGTGCATGATGATTTCTTGTTTTCTCTATCAATCAAAATCAATTCAACTTTATTCAAGATGTATTTTTAAAAATAAGAGTAAATATTTTCGTGATAAGCAATAAATTATGTCTGCAAGACCTTGTGACTTTGATAAAGAAAACGAATATGCCCGTAATAACAATAATAAAAGTAGTCGAAAAGAGCAAATGCACAAACGACATTATAGAATAAATCTAGCAAGGAAATGCAATTTCGCATTATCGTTGCTCCAGTCAAGCGTCACGTAAAAAGGGTCATTAAATAAATAAATAAATTAGGTTAGACATGCCTTTAAGCGACAACACTAGCTGTTATTGTTAATATTCGCGTTTTATCTCGAGTTTCCCATATCAACTTGACCGCATTTCTTTTTGTAGAGGTGAGAACGAACGGAAAATTTTACCAACGGAAAAGCTGCAGATAACGTTAGCATGTATTCCTTCAAAACATGAGGGAGGATAACAAAATAGGCGTCAAACTTCATAGTTTGTAAATAAGTGCTTGAAACTTGCGTTATTCATCATAATTTTATTTCTTTAATGCAGTAATCAAAAGCAAGAAAACGTTTATGAATAATAAAGATTTAATACTCCATGGAGAATCTCGTCACAAATTTAAAGTAAGAGTAAATTTAAATTAAGAGTAACATTATATAAGATGCGGATGAAAACTGTTAAGGTGAAGGTAAGTCAATAGTTGTAAGCTGAGATTCAGAACTCAATACAAAATGTACTCGAGATTTATACCGCTAGAATTTTGCTAAAATAAATACTGCTTTCAATCATTATACAATCATATTTGCTATTTATAATTTCAACATAAACCTAAACGGAAAAGTAACTGTAACAGAATAGAAGGAGACACATCAGAATCTCTAACCCTGTCGTAAGTATTACTGTTTCTCCGGTGTTTCTTGCTTTCCATGTATTTCTTCTCCAAATACACCGTTAAGGCGATTTTTACGTTCACGGTGCAGGTGTTGTCTGGTCTATTTTGGGTATTACAGCGACTTAATTTATGCGAAATATTTACGGTGTCGATTTTTACATCTCCATTTTAAACGTTACTCGAATTAGTGGGGTTTATTTTTCGAAAATAAACTGGAACTTTCCGCGTCGAAATATCTACGGTGTACCCAGACATTGCACATAGGCCTTCTTGTTTTATTTTCGAACTAAGAATCGAGTTCGTGTTTGCTTTGTTTCGTGTTTTTGTTTATGCAAACTTCGTAGAAATTCTCTGGTTTCCTTAACATGCAGATACCTCGTAAAAGTATATTCGGGATGGAATACAATTCGCAAATGTGGGCGCGTTAAATAAACATGCTAAATGCGTTTGGGAACTTGTTGAAATTTCGAAATGAAATATCATATAATATTCGTAATTATAACAATAACACAGATTTTTTCAAATGGGATGCTTATTGTATGCCAAATTTCTTTAAAATGTATTTACATTACTTTAGATGTTTATCTATTAATAGTGTCTGAGAAAACTTGCATATTTGTGAAAATTGTTTAATAGTTCATTTGCAAAATAACATATAACTAATACTCACTCTGAGATTATCCAAAAGCTGTTCTTTTAATACAATCTGTAACAAAAATCAAATTAATATATCTATAATATTTTCCCATTGATACTTAAACTAAAGCTACCACTTATATTAGGTAAAAAATTATTTGGTGATAAATTTAACCGAAATAATGGTAGTTATAATTAAACACTGTCTTTTGCGAGTACAAAATTAAATGAAGACATTATCGAAATATTAATTGCACAATACAATTTCCACAGCAGACTAGGTAGCACGGATTCGACCCCGCACCTGCAAATTACAACCATATCATCGCACCAAATCGTTTTATAGTTAATTAGTTGAATTTGTTTAAAGCGCTCGGTTTGGATAGCATTATCGCCCTGCCAGTAATATCTGCATACAAAACGCCCCTTGCGTTTTCTGTATAAATTTAAACGGTAACAATTAATAGTTAGTACCGAAATTACCAAGTTGTGTGTGGGTGTAAGTAGACTACTTTAAATGTTAAATTACAGTCATTTTCCTACCATGTAGCCAGGTTTAATGAGATTTTCGATATGCAGCATGCACCAAGGTGTGCCTGTACACTTTTTTGCATGTTAATTGCATAGGTAGAACCGCACGGTGATTTATTTATCAGGAAGAACTATACAGGATGACCAATATGACCAAATGCAATTAGCAACCAGCAATCTATTCAATCGTAAAATTGGAATTCAAAAACGTAAATAAAAATGTAAAGAACTAGGTACTACATTTGTTTTATACAACTATACATACATTAAATAATAATACATCAGGTAGGTAATTTCTGTTTTGAATAAATATAATGAAACTATGAATTATTTATAAAATTATATCCATTACTTGTTCCTTTAAGATATTAGAATTCACATATTAAAGCATACATGTAATTGCAAAAAAACTCTTTCAATAGACACCCTCTACATAAAGTAAAGATAAAAAAGTACAAAAAAAGTCCTTATCACACGTTTTAATGAGTTTGTTACGTGCATGCATTGTTTACACGGAACTTTGCGATTCGACTTGATGAATATGTACTGGAAATCTGGCTGAAATCTCTCGAAATAAAAAATGATGATAAATAGGAGCGATTAGAGTAATAGTCGATAAGGGCGTACTACAAACAAAACGTGTCCAAGTGACTTATTTGTGTTACAGTATTACGTTTTGATAAATCGTATCGTGCCGTGTATAATGAACCACATGAAATTTAATATTAATTGCCAAATAAAAAAAACCGAACATTGCGATAAAAAGTTGGGAACAGATAGGGATAATTACGTGGCTATTATACGATAAAAGAATCCTTACTAATAATTCACGAAATTAAGAGTCAGAAATTGTTTTGCACGTTTCATTTAGTTTTATAGTTTAAAGGTTATTATTAACGTCCCATTTAATATGACATAGCTTTCAGTGATTACATATGTTTTGTTTAAATAATTAACTTGTAAAAAAACAAATGGCACATCATTTATAAATTAACCGCGAGGAATCAACAGCTTGATTTTATCAAACAAACAGCGTTATTATTTTTTAAAGTAAATTCATGTGTTTACGATTTTATGTCATCATAGTTATTAGCAACAATTAAACTTTTAAAAAGAGCAAATCAGCAAAAGTTTGTTAAATTTTATTCTCTATTAAGTAACAACTCAAAATTGAAATTGATTTTTATATCTGCCAAATATGGAAGCAAATAATTACTGATCAAGCACATTATGATATGTACGAGTAGATTTAATTTCACCTCAACGTGTCTACACCGATAATAAACTCGTGTAAGTTCTCGTCATTGTTCAGCAATTTAGTCGAGTTCGTTGAACGATTGGTATTTGATAATTTTATCAAATATTGACCGAGAGGTGTCAAAATGTTCACATGCCTGCATTTATGAAAACTGTAAATCTCTCCTTAAAAAATATAAGTAGGTAGCTTATTTTTAATTTTTACTCCTATAGGAGACATTGATTTTAGAGATATTTCTAATTGCAAAATCAACTTAGAGTATACTTAACAATCCTAAAAAAAACTAATTAAGCGATTAAAAAAACTGATTAACCAATCAATCCGCGATATTACTACCGCAAAGTACCGGTCCAAATTGTTTTTCGTTCGATTTCGAAATTGATATTCAACGTTCGTATTCCCAACCAATTTATGTAGTCATCTACCTAAGCAATAACCCATTCTATTAAAAATAGTGGTCGACCTCGAACAACGTTGTAATTTGAATAGTTATGAATAGTATAACTTGTTAGATTTCCACGTTACAAGACCTGCATTTTATTAAATCAACGGCTATTAAAAAGATGTTAATTTACTTTAATTGCAGCTGTTGTTTAAACGTGGTTTTACAAAGAACGCTTTTGTTTTCCGATGCATTGATAGACTGGTTTTGTTTTTGTTTGCAAATGACAACAAAGGCAGGTAAATGAGAGTCATTTAAATATTTAACTTTTTCTAAGCATAATAGATGAAATGAATTTACTTTTTATAGATAATAGCATCGATAAGAATCCTGACCTGCATTTCAATGAATATGTGTTAAACATAGAACTTCGATTTTAGATTCGAACACATTCCAACTGAATTGTAGTTTCTAACTCTGTAACAGTGCCAAATTGATCTAGGTTAGTGGTTAAGTATTCCTGCAGCGAAGCGGGAGTTCGAAATTGTGACACACTACATACTCGGTTCAAACCTATATTTTGCACTCAAATAAGTACTACACATTCGCCAACTTAATCTGTTATTTTTTTCCAGACTTTCGTAATTAAACTCGCCAAATCGATGGGAGATTATCGCTATTAGCGGGCAACTGACCTACTTCTTCCTTTTCGACGGTAACAAATAAGTTAGCATTTTTAGGAAAGTCTCAAACTAAAACGTACAACGCGGCTTCGTTCCCATCATTTAAACCGATGAAAATAACTTTGACCTATAACAGGAATTTAACATCTAAAACGTGAGTTGACATTGTCGAGTATAAGATTATAAAATATAAATGCAACATTGCATAATAAAAAGGTCATAAACAAGAATATTTATCTAGCATACAGAGAATTACAACGATTTTGTTTTCGCTTGTAAAACGCTTTTTCCTCACGATTTATGTAGAACGTTTCCAAAATAAATCTTTTCGTTCCAAAAATTCTTTGCCCTGTTCAATAATTAATTACGATTAAGTACACGTTACCGCTCAAATTAGTGCGGTTATCAATAACTTAACGTCAAAACTAATGTTCAGGTTCACGAGACATTTCGAACGACGTTAGATCGTAAAATAGACGGCTCTCACGTCGGTTTTATCATTTTGTCGAGTATAAAATTATAAATATAGACATATCTAAATGTAATATAATTGAATGGTGTTTAAGTTGCATGACTAATAAATACATTAATAAGCATTATAGCTTGGCTGCAGTAGGTGAAGCAAGATGTAGGCGAACCGGCCATTCGATTATTCCAAACGACAGAGGCGCCTTTTGAGGATACAAACCGATTTAATAGTAAAAGTTATAAAAATACAAACTGTGCAAAAATACAAACTGTGCAATTAAGTGCTTTCTTAGTGTAATAGCGAATATATCAGTAGTTTTACTTCAATTTACTTCATTTCAACTACATCAAAACTATTAACACTATAGTAAATATAGACGTTACTCAAACACCCACCACGCACGCCACTGCGGTTATTTCTAAAAATATTTTATTAATTCCGTGTTTATAGATCGTAGATAGCACTGGACATAAATGTTACCAACACCAATAAATGTTTTTATTAAACGTATTTTCGTATATTGATGCGTGTTTAAATTATTCTTGATCAAATATTAGACCAGACCGTTTTTCCGAATTGATGATAATGATAGTTCGATATTTGTTTAGTCATTATTATATTTATACGTACCTACTTCATTCAGTGTGAATATAATTATATTTTCTATGTTAGTTATAGCCAGTATATTTGTAGTTAAAATAAAATTCACACTTTTAGTGTACATAATATGTAAATCAAAACTGTTGCACTTCATCATTATCAATCTTCATTGTTCAACATTTACTATATGCAAAAACTCTAATAAATATACATGCTTCTCATGTAAAGAGGAGAAAATAATTGCTTTGGCTCAAAAAACGGTGAACAAATCAGATTTCATATGACAATAATAAATAGGAGCATCGATTGTCCTTAGAGCTTGAATTATTGAACGCGGTGTATGTTCATGTCCGAAGTTTTTAGTGCATCATTAAAATTTCAAATCACTGGCAAACTTCCTTCTATATACCGCTAATAGATGCATGAATACTTTGTCCTAAATCGACTATTCTTATTTTAGGTAGCATCGTTTTTTTCACGAAAGAGAAAATCTCTTATAAAAACCATTAAAATAAAGCATTCCATACGAAATAAATAATGATAAATGAAATCATTTTATTGATGTTCGGGTAAAAATTGCACATGCAACTAACTCGTACGCCTACGTTCGAACACACCTTGTACCTACAAGCACCAGTGTGTGTGATTAAATGATATCCGTAAAGCACGTTCTTCTGTACGTATGCAATTAGTGAAACCTGCCCAAATCACCCGAAGCAACTTTTAACAAACCGAAACCATTACTTACAGGAATCGCAACTATGTAATTTTTTATGTCAACAACTTTAATGCTTTCGGAACGAGAAAAATGAATACCTATTTAAATTTTTTATACCGATAGGTATCAATAGAAAACCCATTTGCAAAGTTAAATAACTCAATCGAACTACCTCAAACTTGACATAATACGCCTTCTTAAAACTTCCACAAACTCTTTATTCAACCTGTAAATACCCACCTAAATCAACGTCGGATATGCAATCAAACATTACATGAACATTATTTCTACTTGAAACCATGTTTAATCACGTGAACACGTCCCATTAGGCTTTCTGGTCACTTCTGTTTCCGTTTCCAATTGAAGAGCCGAATTCGAGCTGATAGAGGAAGGCGCACGTGTAAGGACAAGACAATGACTGAACTATGA